TTTCCATGGAGAAGTCAGGTATAATTCTGATAATTTTGCCTTTATATGTTACTTGACCTTTTTCCTTTGCTGCTTTTAATATTCTTTCTTTATTCTGTATATTTGGTGTTTTGATTATTATGTGACGAGGGGACTTTTTTTTGTTTAGTCTATTTGGTGTTTGATAAGCTTCTACTTTCATAGGCATCTCCTTCAGGTTGGGAAAATTTTCTTCTATGATTTTGTTTTCTGCACCATTGAGCTGGGCTTCTTTGCCTTCTTCTATTCTTAGGTTTTGTCTTTTCACGGTGTCCCATATTTCCTGGATATTTTGTGTTAAGGATTTGTTGTATTTAAGACTTTCTTTTGTCGATGAATCTATTCCTCTAGTTTATCTTCAGTGCATAAGATTCTTTCTTCCATCTATTGTATTCTGTTAGTTATGCTTGTATCTGTAGTTCCTGATTGTTCAACTTTTCTGTTTCCAGCATTACCTCAGTTTGTGGTTTTTTTGTTGTTGTTGTTGTTGTTTTTTTTGTGTGTGTGTCTCCATTTTGGTTTTCAGGTCTTGAACTGTTTGAATTATTTCCTTCATCTGTTTGATTGTTTTTTCTTGGCTTTCCTTGCTTTCTTTAAGAGATTTGTTGATTTCTTGCTTGTGTGTGTGTGTGTGTGTGTGTGTGTGTGTGTGTGTGTGTGTGTGTGTGTGTTTTCTTCTATTTCTTTAAGGGATTTTCTCATATCCTCTTTGAGGGCCTCTATCACTTTCATGAGGTTGTTTTGAAGGTCATTCTTTTCTGTTTCATCTGTGTTGGTATGTTAAGGTCTTGCTGGTGTAGAGTTTCTAGATTCTGGTGGTGTTATACCGGTTCTTCTGTTTTGGCTGTGTTTTTATATTGCCATCTTTCCATCCCTTCTTTCAGTGGGAGCTCGTGGAGTCTCTTCCTCTCCTGGTGGTTTGGGTCTGAGGATCTCTTCCAGTGCATTCAAGCAGGTCCAATACTCTGATGGGTGCAGATGGGTCTGAGACACTCTCAAGCACAGGGTGGAGACCAGAGGGAACTGAAGACTCAAGCTCAGGAAGAGTGCTGGAGGGGACTGAAGACTCAAGCACAGGCTAGGGGCCGGAGGGGGTTGAAGACTCCAAGGGCTCAACCACAGGTCAGGGACCCAAGAGCACTGAAGACTGGGGTGTGGCCAGAATCAGGGTGATCATTCCAGGTGGGGCGGGTCCTCTCTAGGCCCAGAAAATGCCCAGGGAGACAGAAGGCGATGGATGTTGGGATTTAGAGCTCAGAGCAGGGCCTTCAGGGAGTCTTGATTGTGAGTCTAGTCTTCCATATCCCCATCTGTAAAAACAAGTTATAATAGTATGTATCTATTGAAGCTACTTAATAAACAAATAAATGTGTGTGGATTTTGTACACAAGAGTCTGGTAGAGTACCTGCAGTATTTGTTGCAAGTTATTTTTAGAATAATACTAATAATTTAGAAAACTTATTTTAGAGAATTAAATATTAATCAAAGTTGCTGCTGCTCTTTTTAGATTGTTGAAGAAAGCACAGAATTAGAGTTAATTCTCTCAATGTTTTGTGGTGTGTTTTTAGAGGAAACAAAATATTCAATGAATTGAACTGATTGATGGTTGAGTACCTTTTCAGCTGGGTGTTATGTTCTGTAAAAACACAAAACTCAGGTTGATGCTTGTTCTCCAGGTTTTTACACTAAGACTCAAGCAGAATATGGTTCAGACTAAACAGTTAGAGGTGATAGGGTGGAGCTGGAAGAGATAGTTCAGTAGAAAGTTCTTTGTCTACAAACATGAAGATCTGAGTCCAGATTCCTATCACCCATGTAAAAAGCTGGCACGTAACCTCAGTGTGGATTGGGGGATATTACAGAAATAAGCACTACTGCTCTTACATGGGTGCTGAGAACCCAAACGTGGGGGGTGGCATCTGGACCAATGGTCAGTCAAATCTCAATTCTTCAGAGAACTGAAGTCTTACCTGTTACAGTACTTGTTTCTATAATGCAAATTAACAGTGTTAAAGAAAACAATGGACTTCTGGTTCAGTGAGAGATCTGTCTCAAAAAAAAAAAAAGGGTGGAGAAAGATTGAGGATGACATCAACCTCTGGTCTCAGCATGGGCATGCTTATGCACACATGTATATGAGTGCATCAAAAGCAGGGGGGCAGGGGTTACTTACTTTACAGTAAGAATGTAGAATTATATTCACTGTACCTTAAAAACTTGCTAGGTTTTTTTTCCATGCTTCTGAGGGGAGAAGAAGAAGACGACGTTTTAGGCAAAGAGAAAGTTCAGAGCCAGGGTAAGCCCATTGTGTATTGTGTGAACAGGATATGATTCAAACTAACTGGAGCGTAGAAGTCAGTGGAAAGGTTAGACAAGAGAAGTTGGAGTAGACAGTGGCTGACTTAAAGTTTAAATACAGGAGATTGGGCTGGAGAGATGGCTCAGAGGTTAAGAGCACTGACTGCTCTTCCAGAGGTCTTGAGTTCAATTCCCAGCAACCACATGGTGGCTGACAACCATCTACAATTCAATCTGGTGTATATGTAATAAATAAATAAATAAATCTTTAAAAAAATAAATAAATACAGGAGATTTGCATTTTTAATTTAAATTTAATGTAATTTTGTGGGCATGTTCATTTGTGTGAGCCACCTGAACCGTGGTACACATGTAGAGGTCATCGAACAGTTTTATGTGTCAGTTCTTACTTTCCACTGTGTGAGATAGGGTTGAGCTGCTGAGTACACCAGGCTAATTGGGGAACTTCTGAGGGATTCTTAGTCTCCAGTTCCCATCTTCCCATAGGGGCACAGTGATTACAGAAATGAATGATAATGCTTTTATCATCAGGCTTTGGGGAGGCAACATTTTACACATTGAACCATCTAGAACAGAGGTCAGATCTCATTCTTTAAGAGATCTGAAGTCTGTTACAGTGTTTATTTCTATAACACAAATATGTTATTGATAATTGCAAATTGGTGTCAGTACAATAATGAAGTTATGCTAGTTCAGTTTTCCTAGCATGTTCCTAGCATGTAGCAATCATGAACAAATTTTTCTTACAACTTAATAGAGACCTTTAACAATATAACAGGTTTTTGTGGAAAATACGGAATATCTTGCAGAAGACTCCTCTTTTAGTGAATTCAAAGTTTCAGGAATAGTTCAAAGTCCACAGTATTGAACTGGTGAAATTGAGTACCTAACTTCTGTGAGGACATTAGCCCTTAGAAGAACTTTTGTCTGCTGGTTAGTTGAGAGGTCTTCATCCTCTATTATGTGTTTGTTATTCAGCAGTCTTCAAGGGAGCAAAAGTCCTGAAGAACTTCCATCACAAAACAAAAAGAAAGATGGGCTTTAGAGGATTGAAGGCCATAATGCGAGGGATAAACATGGATGAGCATTTAACTGTTAGGTTTGTTTTGGTGTATTTTTGCTGTTTGAGACAGGGTCTTAACTCTTCTCCTGTCAGTTGAGAGCCACCATGCCTAGCTGTGTTAATTTTTATTATAGAGATTTATTTTTGTCTTAGTGTGGGGTTTCTTGTTGTTGTTTTCTTTTCTTTTTTCTTTTTTTGTTATTGCATGTTGAATAGTCTATATTAACTATCTTCCCCAGGAACTGTGCTGTTTTTACTTGTGATTTTGTAAATGCCACCCACACACAATACACATATCACATTCTAGCAAAAGGTCTCTGGCACCATTTAAACAAAGGAAACTCATAAAGTAACTATTGTCCTTAAAATTTTAATTTAAGCATCTTCATAGGCATCAAGATCATTGAAATCTATTGGCTTTTGAAGTTTATATGCTGCTTATCTGTTTTTACATTTATTTATTTACTTAGAGTATGTGTGCACAAGCACAAAATTCAGCACAAATTCCACCATGTGGGATTGAACTCAGACTTCTATGTTTGGCAGCAAGTACCTTTGCTTGCCGAGACATCTTTCTGTTTCGTCTATTTTTTATTATTAATTTGTTTATTGGCATGCAGGATAGTGAACCCAGGTCTGTGCCATCTCTCTGCCATTGAGCTAAATCTTTGGTTCTTTGTTCACTTAATTTTAGATTGAAACTATTCCTAATTTTAAAGGAAATTTATATTTGAAATTTGTGTCAAATCAAATGTTTCTATGTTGCATGTCAAAACACCTCTAAGTGAATTCTACTGTTTGTATTTGATAGTAAATTGATCTCCCTAAATACTGCAAACAAACCTGGCCAATTTTAACTTATAAAAAACTACTATGGTATTTGTGTTTGTTTACTAACATACAAAAACAATAAATTCTCCTAAAACCTCATTCTCTACCTAAAACGCCAGTTCTTCTCTTATTACTTGAGGCTTGAGTTGGATATATGAATGTCCTGGTTTATTACATGAGTCCCAAATGAGCTTGATCTCCTTTCTTTAAACAGGTGGCAGGCTTTTCATATCATCCATCTGCTAGCTAACTGCAGTGTTCAGGAGGGAAAGGTCTTCGCTGTTCCAGCTAATCAGTACAGCATGTTCTTAGTTTTTATCAATTAAAACAATGAGTTAAAACTGGACTTAGTTGGTACTTTACCATGATAGAAATCCTGTTTTTCTTGTGTTGCTTTGCTTTCCTGAGATGGGTTCTTGATTATATGCAGTCTGTCTTTGAGTTGAAGATCCTCCTGACTCAACTTTCTGGGTGATGAAATCCCAGGTGTAAGCCAAGAAATGTGTTTTTAGCCAGTGGTAGTAGTTTATTCTTGTAATCCCCATGTTTGTGAAGCTAAGACAAGAGAAGCACTTAAAGTCAGGACTGTCTGAGTTCTAGGATAAAATACTGTGTTAAAGAAAGTCACTTTAAAAAGCTTTGCTAATTAAATGATTTATCTTATCTCTATAACTTTGTATAGCTTCATAAAATTAGTTTGTGAGGCGCTACTATGTAGCATTTTGGAGACCTTTCACTTTTAAAATAAAACCACTTTTTTAATTACAGAAAGACCCAAATGGGACCAGTAGTTTGCCAACTGGAAGTTCTCTTCTACAAGAATTTGAAGTACAGAATGAGGAGGTGGCAGCTTTTTGTCAATCCATTATGAAGTAAGGAATTTTTCTTCTTTAAATTAAAATGTCATTTAAAAAAATACTTTGTCTCGAAAAACAAACAAATCAAAGCTGGGCAAGGCAAACCATGTCTCAGAGTTCCAGGCCAGTCAAGGCTACGTAGTGAGACTTTGTCCCAAAAACACAAAAACTAAAACTTGCTACTTATGCCAATCCTAATTTTTTTCTTCATGTAGCTAAAATTTTGAAACAAACAGTTAATTGGTACCTAATCACAAGCCACAGATGAATCTAGATCTTAACTTATTGGGCTTCTAAGTAAGGCCAGGAGTGGATCTCTGGTCCCTTACTAACAAGTGAAAATCTGGATTGCATGTGTGTTTCCACACACCTCAAAATTGCCTCCTTTTGTTTTTAGACAGACTTCCATCTTCTGAAAAACATGTAGTCTTTGTTTTTAGACACATTGTTCAGTTTGTAGCCCAGGCTGGCCTCAAACTCTCAGTCTTCCTGCATTGGCCTCCTGTGTTCTAGGTTAACAGGCATACAGCCCATTTTCTCACAAACTTATCTAGCATTCAGAATGCTAACCCACTTATTTACTAAAAATATATTTTATAAATATCAGAAAAATATTGCTCTTAAATATTTTCTCACTCCTGTATGTCTTAGATAATATTGCTTATTTTTTGTTTTGTTTGTTATTGCTGTTTCAGAAATGGTCTCTAGTCCAGGCTGGCCTCAAAGTCCTGGGTAGTTGAGATGATCTTGAACTTTTTCTTTGGATTTTCAAAACAGGGTTTCTCTATGCAATAGTCCTGACTGTTCTGGAACTCCCATTTTTAGACCAGACTGGCCTCAAACTCGTAGAGATCCACCTACCTTCGGATCTTGAAATTTTCATTGCTCCTGTTTTCACAAAGGGCTGGGATTACAGTTATGAGCTACCACTTCCACTTTTATGCAGTACTGGGGATGGAACCCAAATCTTCAAGCATATTAGGCAAGTTCTCTACCAACTATGAGCTACATTTTCAGCCCTTGTACCATATTCTTTATAGATGGAAAAATTGAGACTCCAAGGAAATACCCTAACAAAGTTTTTTCTGCTGTCAGTACAGTGCCACATCGTTTTTGCTGCTGGTTAAATGTTTGTCTCCATTACATGATTGTATCTGTTAGGACTTGTGTTATGTTCTGCTATGAGATCTGGGGATCAAACCAAGTTGTCAGGTTTGTGCAACAAACACTTGCCTGCTGAAGTATCTTACCATTCCTGTTTTGTTTGGTGAAACAGGGAAGACCTCACTCTATAGCCCCTGCTAGGCTGCAACATATTATATAGGGTTCACTATCCCTGAACTCATGGCAATTCTTCTGCCTCAGCTTCCCTAGTGCTGGGTAATAGGTATGCATCAGCACTCCCACCTTGAATTCACTTTTTTTTAAAATTTGAAATAGGGTTATTCTTTGTATATCCAAAGATGACCTTGAACTTGGATCCTTTTACCTGTACTTCTCAAATCCTAGGATTACAGACCTGCTACTGTGAGGGCTTAAATTCACAATTTACTTCTCTCTTCAGACTTTCTGTGTAGTTGTATGCTGTTTTTTACTCTTGGCTTTTTGAGGAGCCTTGCCACCTAGCTCCCAAGTAAATTACCCATGGAGGCTTATGAATGTTTAACCTTAGCTTGTCTTGTTTTTAGCCAGCTTTTCTTAATTAACCCATCTACCTCTACCTTTCCCTCTGGGCTTTTATCTCTCTCTCTTTCATAAATCTTTCACTCGTGCTCCCTGGCTGGCTGGGTGTCTGGCCCCTGATGTTCTCCTGAAAATAATATTCCCTACCATTTCTGTCTTTCCCTTTCCTTTCCTTCATTTTCTTACCATGCTTACCTCCATGTGATTTAGCTTAATTTTTCCTATTACAAACGGGACTTCTTAAGACAGGGATTATAGCCACAGACTCCATAGTCTGATGTTTTTGCTAGCAGAGAGGAAAAGTGAATCTTATCCAGTCAGAGAAAAGTTATGCAGAAGACTGGAGCAGCAAACTTGAAAGCAGAGGACAAAAATCTGCTTTCTCATGCAGGAAAAGTGATCACCAACAGGGATTTATTCTGAATCTAGAGCTGTCTTTAGTAAAAAGAATTCCTTTTTAAGCAGGTCATGGGATCCGCCCACCAGATCATTTTTGAGTATATATGCTATTTTGGTTAATGGTTTAGAAGTAATCTTTTATCCTAATGCTTTAGAAATAATGTTACATTTCTTTTTGGTTTTTCGAGACAGGATTTCTCTGTATTGTTTTGGAGGCTGTCCTGGAACTCGCTCTGTAGACCAGGCTGGCCTACAGTGTGATGTTACATTTCTTACATAGTTTCACCCACCAATAAGTATTATATGGTTTGTGTTAGATTGTTTTGACTAAGTACTACGTTAAACTTTGCAAGTTGAAAGATTAAGCTCTTTATGATTTGCATTTTGAACTGTAGAGCTGTTTTCAAAAACGTCCCAGCTTAGCTAAGTGATTACAGTCCTTCCTTGGCTAGGATGGGCACATTCCATAACTCGTCAGCAAATGTCTGAAAGTGAATACTGAGTCCTATGTGAATTCTGCTTTGTAAAACATGTGTCTGAAAAAATTAACTTATAGAGGTCATTTGATGGCTCATTAGGTAAAGGTGCTTGCCATCAAGCCAGGTAACCCAAGTTTGATTCCTGAAATCTACTCCCTCTGGTTGTCCTCTGGACTCTACTATATGCCCCCTTCCCACATATATTAATTGGCTTATTATTTTATGTGAGTGAGTGTTTTGCCTGCTTGTATGTGCATACCTGGTTCCAGAAGAGGGCGTTAGATTCCCCCCAGGGTTGGAGTTGTAGACAGTAGTGAGCTGCCATATCAGTGCTGGGAATAGAACCTAAATCCCCTGCAAGAAGAGCAAGTGCTTTTAATCACTGAGCCAACTCTCCAGCCCCATCAGATAAATATTTACCATCAATCTTAGGAGCCTGAGCACATAATTTTTTCTTCCCTTATTGGGTCAAGATTTTTCCTTTTTGCTCACTGGAAGTATTTTCAGACCATAGTTGACAGGACAGTAACTGCAACTGAATAAGGATGCTGACATATATGTGTGTGTGTGTGTGTGTGTGTGTGTGTGTGTGTGTGTGTGTGTATTCAGAGTGGCTTATTTAATATGTAACTCCAGATGAACCAAATAGAAAATGAGTTCTTATCCCCTGACTTCCAGTAATACAGTTGCAGCAACTTTTAGAACAGAGGTTTCTGAAGCCATGTTCCAGGAATTTTTGTTTTTGCTCAGTAAAGATGAAGACTCAATACATTTGTTCCTCAAGTGGGTGCTTTTCTTCAGTATAGTCTTCCCCACAACTCCAGTGAACTTAAACACACACACACACACACACACACACACACACACACACACACACACACACACACACACGAGACTAAAATAGTTTCAGCCCTTCTGCCCATGCTGGGAGTTGAACCCTGGACCTCATGTATGCCAGACATCACTGTAATACTAAGGTTCTTGGCTCTCTTCTCCACTCCCTTTTTGAGACAAAAACTTGCTTTATAACCCAAACTGGACTAATTTATAATTTTCTACAATGCCTGACCCATTGGGGGACTGAACCCAGCATACACACAGCTGCTGAGCTACATCCGTAGTACCTAATTTATGCTCTTTTAAAAGTCTTTTAAAAATTGTTCATGCCATATTTTGATTCAGTTGTGAAATCAACATCAGACTGTTAGGGTGCTGTATGTGCTTACAGTTGAAATTACAGTATAGCAGTTTTAACAATTCACTGCCAGTTCTAGGCCTGGGCTTTTGTTAGTGTTTGTGTCAGTGAAATCTTAATAAAACTTACTAGATCTAATAGTCTAGAGAAAAATTTTTAAAGGATATTTATGTAGCAGGCTTTTTTGGAATAATGAAGATTGAGCCTAGGGCACTAGGCATGGCATCTAGTACCGAGCTCCAGTCCAGACCTGTGGTTATTATTGCTTCCTCTATGTTTCTCTATCACAAAATGAGAAACTATATTCTATGCCTACCTTCTCCTTGAATGTGATTCAGATCTCATACTTATGCCATATAATAATCTTTATTATTAGTCAGTGTTGTATAGAAAGGCTCATTGCAACAATTTCATACATGCAAATAACATTGAGCATACCCTCTCCCCCATAGTATCTTCATTTTAAGACATTCCATATGTTTTCAAAGATTGACTTCATCTTTGAATTAATAACTACTTATTAGGTACTGTCTCTTACAGTCCAATTTCACCTTGAACTTGCCATAGAACTGAGAATGACATCAAACTGCCAATCCTCTACTCTCAGTCAGTTCTCAGATTAACTATGTTTTGATGTATCTATTTTATGAGTTCTATTTATTAATTTTTTTGAGACAGGATCTAACTATGTAGCTATGCTGACCTAGAACTCTCTTGGTAGACCAGGCTGACCTCAGACAAAGAGATCTGTCTACCTCTGCCTCCTGAGTGCTGAGATTAAAAGTCCAGCTTTATTTCATGAATTTTAGCAAACAATACAATCCAAGTATGTGTGAAATAATTATTATATATAATATATATTTTTATATATAAAAATGATAAGTGTTATAAAGGGTAAGTTTAACAGCAACTAAATATCTTACAGTGTTCATATGTGAAGATAAGGTTCTGATATCAATTCAGATTTTATCACTTTGATCACATTTCATCTTTTTAGAAAAATTATTTGTGGGGGCTAGAGAGATGACTCAGCGGTTAAGGGCACTTGCTGCTCTTCCAGAGGACCAGGGTTCAATTCCCAGTGCCCACATGGCAGCTCACAACTGGCTGTAACTTCAGTTTCAGGGGATCCAACACCCTTTACACAATGCACCAATGCAAGTAAATAAATAAATTATTAAAAAGAGAAAAAAATTTGTAAATTTTGTATATATAGTTTGTATGCAGTTATGTGCATGTGAGTACTGGTGCCAGTAAATGCCAGAGACATTGGATCCCCTGGAGCTGGAGTTAAAGGCAATTGTGAGCCACCTTACATAGGGGCTGGAAATCAACCTTGGGTTCTCTCCAAGAAAAGTATATACTTTTAACCACTGAGCTCTCTTTCCTGTTGTGTATTTTTTCTTTTTGATATTGGATCCTGTGAGTGTCTTCTGAGATCACAATGTAGAAACCACATTTGTTCTTTCACTGATTCATTTATTTTATGAGACATTTGCAGTATTTGTTATATATGTAGTAGGCACTAAGTGCTTCATAAACTTATTTTACATGTTCTTATGACAACCCTGAAAAATAAATAGTCATATTACCCTGAAGCAAAAGAATGTCAGTAACTCAAGAGCATTTACACAGCCAATAAGTAATAAAAACTAGGTTCAAATTCAAGTAGTCTGCCATACAGGTTTTGTATTGACTGTTGAATTTGCTCTTGACATCTCAGACTGTTTTATTCTGTATGTATGCCTTGAATAGTTGAATATCCATAGAAGCACAAAAGTATTTCCAGCATGCATTCCATTTAAGACCTCATAAAAAACAGATGATTGCTAAATATATAGCTCAGTAGTGGTAATAGCCTATGTGCCTACCATGTATGAGGCCTTGAGTTCAATCCCCAGCTCTGCAAAAAAGGGTAGAAAAAAAGGAGAAGAAAACAGATGAGATGAGGGGACTGGGACATTTTACCAACCTCCAGAAAAAGGCAGTTACTGGAACCTGTGAAGTTGACAGTATTAAATCTCCCCTTTCTTAAAAATTGTTTATTATGTTTATGTGTTCATTGTGTTGTGCTCATGTGTGTATAAGTGAATGTGAGTTTTGTGTGGATGGACATGGCATGGTAAACGTGTGAAGGTTAGAGGACACCTGGGAGGAGTTGGTTCTCTTTTTCTGCCCTGTAAGTCCCAGGGATTGACTCAGATTTTCAGGCAAGTGCTGTTACACACCAACCCATCTTACTTGCTCCTTCCTCGAATCCATAATGGCAGTCCTGTCTGGAGATGAGACACATACTACATTCATGTATTTACATCTAACTGTAAATACCTTTATATGTGACCCCTAACTTTTTCTTCTTTTTCTTTTTTGGGGGGCTCAGGAAGTATTTTGGGAGGTTGTTTTTCTAGACAGAGTTTATCTGTGTAGCTCTGGCTGTCTTGTAATCACAAAGATCTGCCTGCCTCTGCTTCCTGCATGCTGGGATTAAAGGCGTGGGCCACCAAGCCTAACTTGACTCCTAATTTTTTTTTTCCTTTGGTTTTTACGAGACAGGGTTTCTCTGTATTGTTTCAGAGGCTATCGGTCCAGCCCGGCCTCGAACTCACAAAGATCCGCCTGCCTCTGCCTCCCGAGTACTGGGATTAAAGGCGTGCGCCACCACCACCCGGCTTGACTCCTAATTTTTAATGTACCTTATAGCACTGTAAAGGCTTTGTAGTTCTATGAAAACTATTTTCTATTTTTCCTTGTCTTATAACCACAAACAGTATTTATAAGGAAAAAAATCCTGCTTAGAAAAATACTACTTTGAAAAGAAAGAAACTCAGGTATTTACAATTTTTTTGTTTGTTTTTTTGTTGTTGTTTTGTTTTTACGAGACAGGGTTTCTCTGTATTGTTTTGGAGGCTATCGGTCCAGCCCGACCTTGAACTCACAGAGATCCGCCTGCCTCTGCCTCCCAAGTGCTGGGATTAAAGGCATGCGCCACCACCGCCCGGCGGTATTTACAATTTTTAGTTACATTGTTTGTATCAATAATTCATTTAAAACAGGCCTCGTTATGTAATTGCATTGGGTAGCCTAAGAATATAAGGCAGAGAACCTCATTTGATGCCAGCCATCTCTGGAATGCCTACATCTTGTTGACAGTATTACCAATGATATCCTGGCACTAGTTAATCTCTTCTTTTTCCTTGGTTCCCCTTCATTTAAAAGGCACATGCTGCTATTTGGAGTTTTAACAGGAGTTCATTCATTGACATTCATTCTCATGAGCTGCTCAGGAGTTGGACAAAGATCCAAAATTGAGTAGCTGAAAGCATGTAAATCTTTGTTCAGGGCTCTCAATTTCAGTATAAAAAAAAACAAAAAAATATTAAATATCTTATTTCTTACGACCAGATTGAAGACCAAATTCCCATATACTGATCACTGCACAAATCCAGGCTATTTGTTAAGTCCAGTCACAGTGCAAAGAAGCATGTGTGGAGAAAATGCCAGTGTGAAGGTCTCCATTGAAATTGAAGGATTTCAACTACCAGTTACTTTTACATGTGATGGTAAGTTTTTCTTTGACTGGGAAGAAAATGTTTCAAATGTCAGTCAGTATATTCTTTCTTTTCATAAACCAAATTTGTTATCATTATGTATCCTTTTTAGAACATTTGTATTCATTTGGAAAGTTTTCTGGTTAAGTGAACCAGGTCACAGTAGGACTATTTCTCTGAGTATAATAAATTCGTTCTTAGCTAAGGCCCAAAAGCATTAGCTATCAAAGCTAATTATAATACTTTCCTCTCTGCTTTTATGTCAAGAGAAGTGCTTTCTTTTTATTTTTCTTTTTATTTTTTTATTTTTTATTTTTCGAGACAGGGTTTCTCTGTATTGTTTTGGAGGCTGTCCTGGAACTAGCTTTGTAGACCGTACTGGCCTCGAACTCACAGAGATCCGCCTGCCTCTGCCTCCAAGTGCTGGGATTAAAGGCGTGCGCCACCAACGCCCAGCCTGAGAAGTCTTTCTTACAGAGAACTTTCAGTGGCACAAACCTTCAGATCACTTCCTAATCTGTGCAGGGAAGGTAGTTCTCCTTTGGTGTTAATTTTCCCTTCCAAGCTTGGGTAAATACTCTCTCTAGATCTGTACCCTGGATGTCTGTAATAGGCTTATTACCTTTTCTTTTTTAAACTACTTGGCTTTCTTTTAGTTTACTTATAGTGTATATTATTTAAATGAGCTATGAATGGTAGAGAAAGTTTTTCCTATCTCTAGTAATTTAGCTTAAGACTGAAGCCCCCTTTTTTTTTCTTTAATGGTTTTAACCAGTAGTGTGTCTATTAAGTGTAACTAGGCTGAGGGCATAGGTCAGTGGTACAGTACAATCCTGTGTTCAATCCTTAGAACTGGAAAAAAATTGTGGGTATTTTATGGTAAACATATAGACTGTATTATCAGATTATATATTTTTATTTGTTTTTGGGTCTGTTAAAAAATAGAGTTGTGTTATATTTTGGTACATAAAAGCTTTTGATGCCATGTTTATCTTTTAAAAGTTGGACAGGCTGTCCAGCTGGTGACTCATGCCTGTAATCCCAAATTTAAAGGCTGATGCAGGATTGCTATGATTTTAAGAGCCTCCTGGGTTACAGTGTCAGACTCTACGAAGAAAAAAAAGAATTGAACACAGTTTTAAGCATAAAAATTTATGATTTTTAAAACTTTAATTTGGGGCTATAGAGTTGACTCAGTGGTTAAGAGCACTTGATGCTCTTTCAGAAGACCTGGGTTCAATTCTCAACACCCACATGGCTGCTCACTGTCTGTCTAACAGCACTAATAAGAGGCTCTGTGTGTGTGTGTGTGTGTGTGTGTGTGTGTGTGTGTGTGTGTGTGTGTGTGTATGCATGCAGGCCAAACACTCATACACTTAAAAATAAATATATCTAAGAAAAAACTGAAAGCTTTAATTTTCTGTTCAATTGTCATATCAGTAGCTCACCTTTATCAAGAGTAAGACTGCCAGCCGGGCATTGGTGGGTGCACGCCTTTAATCCCAGCACTTGGGAGGCAGAGGCAGGAGGATATCTGAGTTCAAGACCGTCCTGGTCTACAAGAGCTAGTTCCAGGACAGCCTCCAAAGCCACAGAGAAATCCTGTCTTGAAAAACAAAAAAAAACAAAACAAAACAAAAAAAAGAGTAAGACTGCCTTCTTATTTGCTCTATTTTTGTTCTTTAGAAAATTCATTATACAAATATCTGAAGTAGTAATTCTTTTTCTATATAATTTGTTTTAAGACACTGCTCTCTAGGTACTGCTGACTTCTGCCCTATTTGAAGGAATCTGTAATATGGATGTGCCTTAGGGTTTCTATTGCTGTGGAAAGCATTTACTGGGGCTGACTTAAAATTCAGAGGTTTAGTCTTATTGTCATGTCAGAAAATATGGCAGCATGCAAGCAGACATGGTGCTAGAGAAGGAGTTAAGAGTTTTACATCCTGATCCACAGGCAGCAGGCATAGACTGTGTCACACTGGATGTAGTTTGAGCATATACGATCTCAAAGCCTGCCTCCAATGTGACATACTTCCTTCAACAAGGCCACACCTACTCCTACAAGGCACACCTCCTAATGGTGCCATTCCCAAGGGGTGTGGTGGTGTTCACCTTTAATCCCAGCACTGGGGGCAGGGGAAAAGGCAAATCTCTGTAACTTTTAATCCAGCCTGGTTGAAGGCTTCACACAGAGAAGCCCTGTCTCAAAAAAAAAAAAAAAAAATAGTGTCACTCCCTGTGGGCCAAGCATTCAAATATATGAGTCTGTGGGGGTACTATTCCTATTCAAACCACCACAGGATGTAACTTTATTTAGGCTTTCACTTCCTAACAGTTAATAGAGGCTGTGGACCCCTTGAAATATGGCTCATCGATATTGTTAAATGCTTTGAATCCAGAATACACACTAGAGTTCAGAGCCTTAGCCTAAAAAAAGTGTAAATAAATATAGATAGTGCTAAAATCATATATTTACATAGCTTATTTATTGCTTAGGATAGGGTGTTGTTATGTAGCCCAGGCTGGAGTAAACTCTGGTCTGCCGGCCTCTAAAACATATTATTAAAATTAGCTTTGCAAGGTAGAGATGTAGATTAGTTGATAGAGTACTTGTCATGAATCCGTGAGATAGGTTTGATCCTCAGCACCATATAAGCAAGGCATAATGGTACACGCCTGTAACCCCAGCACTTGGGATGGAAAAACATAAGTATCAGAATTCAAGATCATTCTCTGCATAAAACCTACCACATACACACGCATGCATGCACACACGCAGGCATGCATGCCCACGCAAACACTGAGTGTGGTGGTGGATAAGAGGCAGAGGTAGATGGATCTCTGACTTTGCTTTTTATTTATGTATATGAGTATTTTGCCCATGTTATCTGTTCCATTTTGCATACCTATTGCCCTTGGAGGCAACAAGAGGGCATTGGATCCCTTGGAACTAGAGTTATAGATGATAGAGAATTGTTATGTGGTGCTGGGAATTGAACCTGAGTTCTTTGGAAGAGCAGTCAGTGCTCTTAACTGCTGAGCCATCTCTCTAGCCTCTCTGTGAGTTTGAAGCCAGTGTGGTCTACATAGTAAGTTGCAGACCAGCAGAGGCTATATAGTGAGACCCTGTCTCACAGAAAGAGAGAGGATTTAAAGTGATACATGTGACCTACAATATGATATGCATTACATTTCTGTTATAGTGTCTTCTCTTAGATTATAAGTAATATTTAGAGGTAAGTGAGCAAAATGAAAATGACAGCTAACTCTCTTTCAGTGAGTTCTACTGTAGAAATAGTTATAATGCAAGCCCTTTGCTGGGTACACGATGACTTGAATCAAGTGGATGTTGGCAGCTACGTTCTGAAAGTTTGTGGTCAAGAGGAGGTTCTACAGAAGTAAGTTAATTTACTTACTATGACAACTGAATGGTATCTTTGGAGATTTCATTCTTAATGCCTTAAATTAGAATTTTTTTCAGTTTAGATTTATAATCTAAAAGTATATTTGGATGCCGACATGGTGTCACACACCTTTAATCCCAGCACTTGGGAAGCAGAGGCAGGTAGGTGGATCTCTGTGAATTCAAGGCCAGCCTGGTCTACATAATGAGTTCCAGGCCAGCCAGAGCTACATAGTAAGACCCTGTCCCTAAATTCATTCATATATTCATTTATATTTTTGTGTATTTATAAAATATAATATATTTGATCCTATTGTTAAAACTTGTGTTGAGGTTTGCTGTATCTAAGATAGTGGTAGAATTTCAGAAATAAGGAAGATATAGTATTCTCTTAAGTTTAGTAGCTTTATATGCTAAAAGTTGTAGCCAGTTGGTTAACTGCGAAATAAAATAACCTTCTAAAAAGTCAGTAATCACATCATTTGTAGACTCCATTCTCCTTTGCAGCTTGCAGTTACTATATATACAGAGTCTGCTGTTGTTGTCTTTTATTGGCCTGAAATAATAATTACATGAACTTTAGTAATTTGCTATAGCTTACAATTAGTCCAATTGTTTTAACGATCTAGGCTTTATACTCCTATCTGCCTCTTTATCTCCTTTCATCTTCACTGACTCACATAGAAAAATTCCTGTTTAAATGTTCACAATTGGCTTGAAAACATTGTGTTTCACCATTTTTTTCAATTTTTCATACAGACACAATTTGTATTTTACTTTTATGTCTATAACTTGTGATTTGAATAGGATAATGCTGATGGATAATTAATGTATTTTAACAGTAATCATTGCCTTGGAAGTCATGAACATATTCAAAATTGTCGAAAATGGGACACAGAGATTAAGTTACAGCTCTTGACCTTCAGTGCAATGTGCCAGAATCTGGCTCGAACAGTAAGTGTGTATGAATTGCATTTAGTGAAACAGAATAATCCTGATACTTGAAAGATTTTCAGGCTGTATGTTTTTTTCTGCACTAGACTGGGTTGATACTTTTGTTGTTGTTTCTAGCAGAAGTCTTCTCAGAAGATCTTTAGTCATAGAAGTTTAGCTAGCACATCCTTCAGATATAGAAGTATAAATTGGAAAAGCAAAAAGAATGAAAATTTGCCTTTTTTTATCAGAAAGAGATACACTATATGACAAGTTTTATACAGTGTTGGAGACTGAGCTGAGGACTTTGTGCCAGTCATTCTGATAACTTTACTACATCCTTAGCCCTTGATCCTCCCCCCCTTTTTTTTTTAAAGAAAAAGCTAAGTTTACCTACTTCACTGCAAGAGTTCTGAAGCCAAGGGCAATAACAGAAGAACTGCCTGTCCATATCTCATATTTAGTCAGTCTTACACAAGAGTGAAAATTTCAGAGTTAATTAAGAGGGAACAAAGAAGAAAGGGGTATTGAATACTAAATAAGGATTTTCAGTTTCTCTTGAATATGTTTGCATAATGTGGAATGTAGGAGAGACTACTACTTTTCTCATTGGTGGTGAGCAATGAGACAAACTTACTGAGGAAAAAAAAAAGCAGAAATTCAAATAAGCTTGTCTCCATCTGGCCCTACCATAGTTTTTGCCCAACGTTTTCCCCCATTGATTATTTAGGACAGTATCTTGCTACATAGCTCTGGCTGGCCTGGGGTTCATTATATAGACCATATTGACCACAAACTTGCTGCTATACCTGGATTGCAGGTGTATACCATCTGGCCCGCCTCAGTTTTTGCTTTGTTTGTTCATCATAGACTAGATTTAGGAACATTTACCTTTTCCATTTTTTGAGAAATTTATCACATATATTTATTTTGTGTGTGTTTGTGTGCTCAAATGTGCCATAGTATGTGTGTGTTTAGGTCAGGAGACAACTTATGACAATTGGTTCTTTCTTTATACCATGTTAGTTCCAAGGATGGAACTCAGGTTATTAGGCTTGAGGACAAATGCCATTATCTGAACCATATTGCTAGCTCTGTAAAATATGTGTTTGTGGCTGGGTAGAGTACTCCAGTATTAAGAGCACACTGGTTGTTCTTTCATAGGATGTAAGTTTGATTCCCTGTACCCACATGATAGTCCACAATCATCTGTAACTTAATTTCTAGGAATCTGACACCCTCTTCTTACCTCTGAGGTCACCCGGCACACACACGATTCACAGATATACACACACAGGTATAACACCCATACATATAAAATAAAATTTTAATAATAGGAGTTTTAGTCAGATTTGATAGTATTCAAAGAGACAGAAGGGTCAAGAGTTCAAGGCCAGTCTGAGATACATGAGATCCCCTCTTTAGAATTAAAGGGGGCTGGGGGTGGGTGGAGGGAGTTGGCACTAACTCAATGAATAAAGTGCTTGAAGGCTTGATTTTGGATTCCCAGTACCTATAAAAAGCTGGGTACAGCAGAGCATTAGGGAGAAAAAGACTGACAGATCTCCCAAGCTGGCTAACCAGCCAGTACAGCCAATAGATATTAGCTCAGAGTTCAGTGAGAGAGCCTGTTACAACAAAAGCTGAAAAGCAATAGATGAAGACATATGACATTTGACTTCTAATCTCTATGTATGTGCACTTTTTTTTTTTTTTTTTTTGGTTTTACAAGACAGGGTTTCTCTGTATTGTTTTGGAGGCTGTCGGTCCAGCCCGGCCTCGAACTCACAGAGATCCGCCTGCCTCTGCCTCCCGAGTGCTGGGATTAAAGGCATGTGCCACCACCGCCCAGCTTGTATGTGCACATATAACACACACCCTTGTGTGCACATATGCAAAAATAAATAGTGGAACATTTAAAGATTTATTTATTTTTATTTTATGTACTTGAGTGTTTACCTTTGTGTATGTAGGTGTATCTCATGCATACTTAGTGTTCATGGAAGCCAGAACTGGGTATCAGGTGTCTTGGAATTGGAATTACAGATGATTGTGAGCCACCCGGTAGGTCCTAAGAAACAAACCCAGATGCTCTGCATCAACATCAAGTACTCTTAATTTCTGAACCATCTCTCCAACCCCATTAATGAATCATTTAAAATAATTAAAATAATTTTTTCTTAATATTGACTAACTTTTTGAGTCAGTTATAAATAGTAGTTTAGGTAACATTACATTTATTTAAGATTTAATCATCTAACTATACTTAATTTGATAGAATGACCAAAGAATTATTTTTGGTTATTCTTAAACATGTGTGTATGCATTTTAGGCAGAAGATGATGAAGCACCTGTGGATTTAAACAAATACTTGTATCAAATAGAAAAACCTTATAAAGAAGTCATGACAAGGTATGGCATTTAAAGTATTCATTGCAGGTTTTCAAACTTAGTTTTGAATGTGAATATATTTATTTTCTGTAATATCAAAACAACTACTGTGATTTAAAAAAATACTTTTTTTGTTTCAGACACCCTGTTGAAGAACTCTTAGATTCCTATCACAACCAAGTGGAACTGACTCTTCAAACTGATGTAAGTTTTGGCATAAGAACTTAAAAGATTGCTTCTGTTTTCTCTGAATTAGATTAAATGTCTTAAAACGATATTCTTGGTTTTAGTCACCCACATAGCAGTGGGTAGCAGGTAGTGAGAGCTTTGGAAAAAGAGAAAGAAAGCCCAAAACATCAGAGTTTAAAAGCATACATAGTCTTTAGCTAGTATATGAAAGAAAAAGTCAGAAGAGAAGACAAAGCAACAGTTAACACCTTTCTGAGTCTTGACTTAGAGAAACAGTCAGACCCAGATGAACCAGACTCATGGAAACTCTCTGGCGACTCATAAACACAAGTATACATATATGATATATGGAAATAAGCAGTTCTATAGTAGTGTGTAAATATGAAATGAAGTTGAAGAAGAGTTCTTGAGAGAGGGCTCATTGGTTAAGAGCACTGGCTGCTCTTCCATAGCACCTGAATTTGATTCCCAGCACTTGAACAGTAGCTTACTATCATCTAACTCTAGTCTCAGGATACTTCACACCTTTTTCTGGCCTTCTTGGGCACTAGGCACACAAGTGATACACGGACATGCATGCAGACAAAATACCCATATACATAAAATTTTATGAAAAGGTAAGGATATAATGTTAGAAATGGCTAGACATAAGTAACTGCCTTATAGTTCATAGTAAGGAGTTTCACTTTATTCTGAGGTTAGGTTACTTTCTGACTTCGTAAATAAGTTTTTTTTTTTTTTTAGTCACTGAACCTATTTGTTCATATTGTTTGATGTAATTTTCATTTTGTATTACAGTATTAGATTTGATTGGTTATAATGTAGACTTTATTTCCTGCAAAGCCTAAACCATTTTAAAAATTTAAAACATTATTTATTTATGTCTGTGAGAGTTTTGCCTACATGTATGTGTACCATGTGCATACCTGGTGCCCTCAAAAGTCAAAAGAAGACATCAGATCTCCTGGAACTGGAGTTACAGACAGTTGTGAGCCACCATATGGGTACTGGGAATTAAACTCAGGTACTCTATAAGAAGAGGAATGAACAAGTAGTTGTAAACACATAGCCATCTCTCTCTGTCTATCCCTTTATTATTTGATCCTTTATAGAAAAAGTTGGCTGATCTTTTACAGAATAGTTGGATCTAGTCATTTAAGGTGTTTTTAGCTAAACCCAGACTGGGGTAATTGTTTAGCCCTGTCTTCTGAAGTTAACTTGAACATAATGTAGAGGTTAGGCTTAAAGGTGACAGAATTGGTTTCAGAAAGAAGGATTTTTGTAGCAATTCAGGTAAAAGATAAGCATTATGATTGTTACAGAGAGAACTGACAACAATACTTGGAGGCAAAATTGCTAAGAGTTAGCAGGTTGTGAGAGATGGGAATGTAAAATGAACAGATTGCTAATTACTAGTACATTTTTTCCGTGTTATGTGTATTTGGGCATACACATATCACAGCACACTACAAGAACAACATGCAGGAGTTGGTTCTCTCCTACCATGTGGATTCCAGAGATTATACAAAAGTCGTATGTCACCGGCATTGGTGGCTCACGCCTTTAATCCCAGCACTTGGGGGGCAGAGGCAGGCAGATCTCTGTGAGTTCGAGACCAGCCTGGTCTACAGAGCGAGTTCCAGGACAGCCTCCAAAACAATACAGAGAAACCCTGTCTCAAAAAACCAAAAAAAGAAGAGAAAAGAAAAAAAGTCATATGTCAGGATTGGCAGTGAGTTCCTTTACCCACTGACCCATCTTGCCAGTCCTACTACTAGTACATTCTTATCAATGCATAAAAATACTGAATATCACATCCTAGACAATATTGGTCTGAATACTGAACCCTCTGAAACAGTGAGCTCAAATAATTACCTCCCTTAAGGTATTTCTTGAGGTGTTTAGTGACAAGGAAAGTAACTAATTTGGGTGTTTGCGGTAGCTTTAACTATCCAAAAGAGACATTGAGTGAGTAATTGATATGAACCTGGAATTTAGCATAAGAGGTTCAAGTAGAGATAAAGCACTTAGGAATCATCAGAATATAAATGGAATCTTACAGCTGAAGACTAGTTGAGTTACAAAAAAAAAAAAAAAAAAAAACCCATTGCAGGAGGAGAAGAGTTATCTCATCAGGTAAATGACTGCCCTTCCAGAGGACTTACCTGGATTCTATTCCCAGCACCCACGTGGCAGTTCAAATTCACCTGTAACTCCAATTCTAAGGGATCTGGTGCCCTCTTCTGGCATTCTTGGGTACCAGGCACACATATAGTGCTCATATATACATACATACATACATACATACATACATACATACATACATACATCCCACAATGTTGAGAGCCTGTGTGATCTTGTGTTGACCACACCACTTCTCTATTCTTTTTGCAGCACAACTGAAAGTATGTGGTTTTGCTACTTCTCTCTCCTCCTATTCTCTTAGGTACCCACTCCAACTATGCCGTCCTTGCTAGCACTCCTTTAAAAAAAACATTTTAGTTGTTTTGTCTGTAAATGGACACAGATACGTCTATAAGTATGTATGGAAGTATGCATGTAGAAGTTAGAGTACATTTTAAAGGTGTTACTTTTCTCCTTTCATCATGTACATTCCAGGGATCCAACTCAGCTTATCAGGCTTGGTGGCAATCACCTCTGCCTGCTAAGCCAATCTTGCTGGCCTACTACTAGCACTTAAATGAAACTGTACTTGAGGTCATCAGGTATGCACATAATCCCAATCTGGCAGTACTTATATTTTTTTCTCAGTCATTCTATGTATTTTTTTACACCTGCTTTTTTTAAAGATTCATTCATTTATTTTGGTTGGTTTAGTTTTGTTTTTAGACAGAATCACAGAATGTAGCCTTAACTGGACTAGATCTTGCTATATAGATCAGATTGGCCTCAAACTCATAAGAGGTCCACATGTCTCTGCCTCTCAAGTACTGGCATTAAAGGTGTGCTCCACCATGCCTGGCCAAAAAAATTTTTGTTTGTTTGTTTGGTTTTTCGAGACAGGGTCTCTTTGTGTAGACCTGGCTATCCTGGAACTCTCTCTGTTGACCAGGCTGACCTTGAACTCACAGAGATTCACCTGCCTCTGCCTCCCAAGCACTGAATTAAAGGTGTGTGCTGCCACCACTCAGCACAATTTATTTTTATTTTTATATGTGAGTATTTTGTCTGCATGTATACTTGTACACTTGTATGTATGGTGCCAAAGTAGGCCAGAAAAGGGCACCAACTATATCCTAGAACTAAAGTTATGTTATGAGCTACCATGTTGGTGCTGAGGGTCTGTCCTCTACAAAAGGAGCAAGTACTCTTAATGTTTGATCATTTCTCTAGTCCTTTAAATAATTTTTACACAACCATGTATACATACACAAATTGGAAGGGGTTGTGTAGACATGCCTGTGTGGAGGTTAGAAGATACCTTTGGAGGTTAGTTTTCTCCTTCCACCATATGGCCATGTAGGTCCTAGGGATTGAATTCAGATTATCAAGCTTGGTAGCAAGTGCTTTTACTCACTGGCCCAAGACTATACTTTAAGAGAAGTTTTGGGTTCAGAGCAAAATGAGAAGATATCCCATTGTACCCCTGGTACTACCCATATGTAGTCTCGCTATTTTGCAACTCTGTTCTATTTGCTCAGGCTAAAATCTTGGTGTTATCCTTGACCTTTCAAGAAAAAGATATTTCATCTCCCATATTAAACCTAATTCTTACCATCTCTAACATTAAAACACATGGAGAATGTGACCATTATCATTCCTAAGTCAATTCTGTTATTTTTTTACTGGTCTTCCAAATGCCTTTCCTTCTGCAATCCTCCCGTGCCCCCCAGGCAACCAAAATGATACTTTAAAAATAATCCACTAAATGTAGGGATGCATCCTGCCTGTTATATCCTAGAACAGAGTAGGAAAACACTGGTATGGCTGAGTAAGTCTAGAGTTTACTTGATTGTATGCCACTGCTCTAGTCTTCATTTTGACAAATGCATCATGGTTATGCAAGCCACTGCTTGACTGGTTTATATGGGAACCCTCTGTACTATTTTTGTAACTTCCTAAATTCTAAAATTATTCCAAATGAAAAGTTTACTTTAAAAGTGAAAAATAAGAACAGAAAACAGATGTCAAATTTTTAGAAAAAGGACTTGTAGAGCCAGGTAGATGTGTAAGAGAACACATCTTTAATCCCAGCACTTGGGAGGCGGAGGCAGGTAGATCCCTGAGTTCAAGATTAACCTGATCTACATAGCGAGTTCCAGGAAAGTGAGGGCTACATAATAAAGAGATCTTGTTTCAAAAAAAAAAAACTTTTAGAAAAGGTAGTTAAAAATTATGAGCTATAAAGCAAAGTGAGCTCTTAAGCTAGTTTGAAGTTACTGTTTAGCCTGGACTGGCCTTGAACTTGTGAACCTTCCTCCTCAGCTTCCTATATCCTAGGACTGTATCTTTGGTTTATAATCTTCCAAGTGTGTTCCCCAGCAGGGAGCCTGGGACCTGAACTCTCTAGTGCTCTTCCCTCTGGTATTTGCTTGGCTTTCCCTTCCTTAATGTAAATATGTAGGAGGATGTTTCTTTCCCAATCCTTTGTAGATTTTTAAACATACTGTACCAGTCTAGAGATTTTTTTTCCATCTACTCTGTCTTTACTGCATACCTGTAACCATTTTCTGCTTGCATGAACAAAACTCCAAACCCACCATGTATCATTATGGCAGAGCTTACACTGGTATCTTCAGCCTGCAGGCAGTGACTAAAAGATGCCTCTTTGTTCCACAGCCTTGTGGGAGACTGCAGAAACCCACCATGCAGCTTAGTTTATGGTTGGCAGCTGGATCCATCTTGCAGGCAGCTGTTAGGAGACTAGTCCCTGCATTGTGGTTGGTGTGAGACTAGGAAGCTGTGTCTGGCTCCATTTTTGTGTGTTTAGAATCTTTTCTTAAGCATTTTTAGGTCTTATGTGGATCTACATCCCACATTGGATGCCATATGTAGATGGAAGTTTCCCATCCTGACAAGTGCTTCCAAATAACCACTCTAAGGTTTATATTAACTGTAAATGCTCAGCCAATAGCTCAGGCTTATTACTAACTAGCTCTTACATTTTAAGTTAACCCAGATTCCTTATTTACCCTCTACTACATGGTGGTACCTTTATTAACATGGATATTCTGACTGTTTCAACGTCTGTTCCCTATGTGCATGCCTGGTGCCTGCAGAGACTGAAAGAGGGTGTTGGATCCCTCTGGCACTGTAGTTACAGACAGTTGTAAACTGCCATGTAGATACCAGGACTCAAATTCAGGTCCTATAAAAAGCAGTCAATGCTCTTAACTGCAGCGCCATCTCTCCAGCCCATAAAGAAGATTCTAAGGCAAGAATTGACATAAAGTTTTTGTCTCTTATTTATTGTCTTTACCCTTAAATGAGTAGAATTGAATCTCACCAGAGGATGACTCACAAAATATAAAATATTTACTTAGCTAATTATTTGTTTGGTTTGGTTTTGAGATAATCTCAATATTGCCACCTCAGACTTTCAAATCACTGTAAGTATAGCTGTTGTCTTAGTTAGGGTTTTTATTGCTATAAAGAGACTCCATGACCACAGCAATTCTTACAAAGTAAAACATTAATTGTGGTGGCCCACTTACAGTTTAAGAGGTCCAGTCCATTATCATCATTGTAGGAAGTATCATGGTATGCAGGCAGACATGGTGCTAGAAAAATAGCTGAGAGTCCTACCTCTTGACAACAGGAAGTTGACTGACAGTCACACTGAGGGAAACTTGAGCAAAAGAAATGTCAAAACCCACCCCCATGGTGACATACTTCCTTCAACAAGACCACACCTCATAATAGTGCCACTCCCTTTGGGGACCTTTTTTTTTTTTCAAATCACCACAGATGTGTATCACCATACCTGACAATTAGTGGCTTTGGGGGAGGTGCTAGTAGGGGGCAGGGTTTTCCTGTCCTTGCTTTATAGCCCTGGATGACTTGAAACTCACTGTGTAGACCTGGCTGACCTTTTGGTCAAAGGTAAGACTTTTTGACTTACCTTTGCTTCCCAAGTGCTGGTATTACAGATAGGTGTCACCATACCTAAATACTTAATGATTTTTTTAAAGAAAATTTGCTCATCTTTATTTAAGATGGATTCAGAAGTTACAAATGTATAAAATCAATTGCCATGACAAGACTGTAGAGAAATGGACAGGTTAGGACATATAAGTACTTCTCCAGACTGAACTTTAACCTCTTTGAAGAGCATATGGATACCACAGGAAGATAGAGGTAAAGAAACTTTCCAAAGAACTTTAGCCAGAACTACCAGATAAAAAGAACATGGTCTGAGGATATAGGTGGTAGGGTATCTTTGAGAACCACTGAACTCTCATAGTGAGTTGAAAATAAATGAATAAATGCATATAGGACTGGAACCCAGCAGGGATATGTGTCCCTGTTGTTTTGGGGTTAAAGTGTCCTTTTAGTGCCCTCTGGTGACAAAATATGCTAGTGTGAGTTTAATTCTGGCTCTACAAAAGCAGAGCAAAGGATGGGTGGGTTTAGAACTGTTAGACTACACACTGGTCCGTTACATGTTAAGAGCAATGGAGAATAGTGCCAGACAGTGTCACAAACTTCAGATTGAAAAGGATTTTACATGAAGGCGAGTTAAAAGAATAAGAAATATAAATTAGATCACTAAAAAGGGAGGACTTGAAAGCTGATCTTCAATTCAGACCCTGAGAACTGCACAGTAATGGGTATTTAAGAAAATGAGATGGTTTCACTTATGCTTGAAGGTGAAATGAGCATTTGGATTATGGTAACCAAGTCTCAATAATAAAAATAAAAATAAAAAAACACTAAAAAGAAAGATGCAGGCCGGTCGTTGGTGGTGCACGCCTTTAATCCCAGCACTTGGGAGGCAGAGGCAGGCGGATCTCTGTGAGTTCAAGGCCAGCCTGGTCTACAAGAACTAGTTCCAGGACAGCCTCCAAAGCCACAGAGAAACCCTGTCTCAAAAAAAACAAAAAAACAAAAACAAAAAACAACAAAAAAAGAAAGATGCAGTACTTAATTGCAGCTTTTCATAGTACTTGACATAAAAGTGTAGTGTGAATGCTTCATGAATCTTTAAGCTTGAGCTTATGAATTTGAGACCAGCCTAGGCACTATAGTGAATCGTTGTGTAAGAGAAGGAAGGTTTTTTTTGCTTTGTTTTGTTGTTGTTTATTTGGTTGGTTGGTTTTTTTGAGACAGGCTTTCTCTGTGTAGCCTTGGCTGTCCTAGCACTCACTGTGTAGACCAGGCTGGCCCCGAACTCACAGAGCTCTACCTACCTTTGCCTCCCTAGGGCTGGGATAAAAGGCGTGCGACACCACCACCTGGCTAGAATTTAGTTTTTAATGCCAGTTTTTTTGTTGTTGTTGTTTTGGTTTGATTTTTGTTTTGATTTTGCAAAAGAGAAGGTTATTTTCAACATGAAAATTACTTCCAAGTGAAAATTTAAAGGATAATCTGGTTGTGCTTATTTTTTAGATTTATTTCGTTTTAAATGTGTGAGTGTTTTGCCTGTATGTATGTATACCACATGTGTACCAGATCTAGTTTTAAAAAGTGATTTAGTAATCTGTTCCTAATTTATTTTCTTTTGATTCTAATATGAAATTAGTAGCATTTGCATAAGATTAGTTGTGTCAAAGTTAAAAAAAAACTATGCCTTGCTTTAGTACATTTCACATATACCATATAATTGAGAAGCTATCTCTTTTCTTTTTCAATAGAGACCATCTATTTTTAGAATTGTCAAAATTATCTAGCTCTGACTTCATCTTTGACATGGGTAGTACAGCATTTTACCTAGTTATTTTTATTTTGCTTTTCATTTTTAAAGAACCAGCACCGAGCTGTTGATCAAGTAATTAAAGCTGTAAGAAAAATCTGTAGTGCTTTAGACGGGGTGGAGACCCCCGCTGTTACAGAAGCAGTGAAGAAGCTAAAGCGAGCAGTTAACCTTCCAAGGAACAAAAGTGCTGATGTGAGTATTTGTTTGGATTTATGAAACTACTTACTTCAACAGGAGGATATTCACCTCTTGTTATTTTAACTTTGACTTTTACTTTTGAGTTTACTGAATTGCTTCATTGGTGATGTAGGGATTCTTTGCTGAAATGATGGAAGAACTTTGTGAACATTGACACTAAATAGTGAATTCAAATTGCCTTCCTTATAGGTGGGACCCCCGGCAATTTAGGGAGCTTACATAGTAGTAGCTGCCAATCCTCTCTTAATGGAAATGTCATTATACATGGAAGTGTTCATTATACTTGTCTTACCCCCGCCCTAGTGGCAGTGGCCTTGCCTTAGAAGCAGCCAGATACTGAGCCTTCTATTATGCCATATGTCAGCTTTTAATAAAACTATGTCCTATGATACTTCCTTCCATGGGTCCTTAATAAATTCAGTTCATAGAAATGTTTATGCATCTCTGGGCAGTGGTGGTACAGGCCTTTATTTAGTCCCAGCACTCAGGAGGCAGAGACAGGTGGATCTCTGTGAGTTTGAGGCCAGACTGGGTTACAGAGCTAGTTCTAGGACAGCTAGGGCTGTTACACAGAGAAACCCTATCTCGAAAAAACAAACAAACAAAAATTTTTACGTCTTTGGTTGGAAGGAGTAAAGAAAAAGTGAATCTTAAACTACTTTAAAGGAAAAGCTATGTGTTTGCCCTGCTCCTCCATGTCTAGGTGCTCACAAGTCTACTCATTTTCAAAGAAATTCTAGCTACATGACACAACACTTGGAGAGAAATTCAGGTTTCCTTTTTGTTTTTTGTTTTGTTGTTGGTGGTTGGTTGGATTTTTATTGGGGTGGGGTCCTATTTAAAAATTACTGAAAATTGGGCTGGAGAGATGGCTCAGCGGTTAAGAGCACTGGCTGTTCTTCCAGAGGTCCTGAGTTCAATTCCCAGCAACCATATGGTGGTTCACAACCATCTGTAATGAGATCTGGTGCCCTCTTCTGGCCTGCAGGCATACATAATAAATCAATCAATCAATCAATCAATCAATCAATCAAAATTACTGAAAATTATTTGGAAACTATCAATCACCATAAACACTAGTATCTGAAGTGGCTGTTCTTTTTACTCCTTTACTCCTTTATTAGGCAAAGGAACACTAAAGGGTAGTTGAGAGAAGAGTTTACCTTAAATAACTATAAGAATTTCCTTCAATAACCAAATGGTAATAGAATTTAGACTCTTTTCTTTAAGTACATTACGCTCATGCCAATGAAAAGTTACAAAATAATTATTAGTTCATTTAAAGTAAAGGGCTGATTTTGTTATTTTCCCATAGCTAAAAATTTTAGGTGCTCTGATTTGTTTGACTTCTTAACACAGGTCTCATATTTTCCAACTTATAATTTAGCCAAGAAAGTCCTGAAACTACTGTCCTGCTTTTATTCACAAGTGCTGAGATTGTAGGCATGAACTACCACGCCTGGCTTTTTGTTTCTTTCTAATTTTGAGTCAAGGTCTCACTCTGGCCAGGCTGACTGGCTTTGAACTTGCTATATTCCTCCTTCCTCAGCTTTCCAGATGCTGTAATTATAGGCATGAACTCCCACTCTAGTTTGCCTTTATTTTCTTATTATTAAAAATCATTTGTCAGGCATAGTGGCACACACCTTTAATCCTAGGGCTTGAGAGTCAGAGGCAAGCAGATATCTGAGTTCTAGGCTCGCCAGGGCTACTTAGTGAGTACCTGTCTCAAAAAAAAATTAATTTACTTAGGTTTATGTTTCTACTTCTTGTTTGTTTGTTATTTTGCAGATTTTATGTGGGTGCAGATATTGGTGCAAGTGTATGCATTTTGAAACAGGGTCTTCTGCAGAACCTAAAGCTTATCAACTTAACTAGTAACTGGCCAGTGAGCTCCAGGGTCCACCTTCTGCCTCAGACCCTCTCGCTTACCTGAGCTGGCATGAAAGACTGGGTACAGGGAATTCTAACTCAGGCTTTTTTTTTGGCAGTTATTTTATGGATTGAGGCATTTCAGACATGTTTGGCAGATTTCTTCCTAGAAGGGTTTATTTGACTCTTAAAGAAATATATCAAAAGTAAAATTTATTTAAAAACAAAAGCAAAGGCCCCATGTGGTGATACATTCCTGTTATCCCATCATTTTGGATGTAACAGTTTAGCAAGTTTGAGATCAATGTGGGCTACACAAGACCGTGTCTCAAAAAAGAAAGAAAAAGTAAACATTTTATATTAAATTATGGTCAACTTATGACTAACTGATATATGTATATACAGGTGACTTCATTATCTGGAGGAGATACTAGCAAGAACTCAACTGGGGGTATGTTTTTAGATTCTTTACATTTTGGCAATGATTTTTGATTTTTCAGAGAATTAACACTTTGTTTCAATGTAGGCTCACTGAATCCTGAAAATCCTGTTCAAGTAAGCATGGACCACTTAACGGCAGCAATTTATGATCTTCTCAGACTCCATGCTAATTGTAGTAAGAGTTCTACAGACTGTCCTCAAAGTAGCAGAAATATCAAGGAAGCATGGACTACAGCAGAGCAGCTCCAGTTCACTGTCTTTGCTGCACATGGAATTTCCAGTAACTGGGTATCAAAGTAAGTAGATGGTTAAAGCACATGCGCAGCTGTATCCAGAAGCTACACTAATCTTAGTGTGATAACTACTTTCATTTTCTTTGTTTAAGTGGGTGATAGAAAGGTCACTGAGTACTTTGTAACTTAGTGGCTTTAATAAAATTATAGAGATACCTGAAGTCATTATAGTGAAAAACATCATTCCTATGACATGAAAAAAGAGCAAGAGAGCCAGGTATGGTAGTGTACCCAGGAGGCAGAGGCAGTCAGATCTTAAAGTTCAAGGCTACCTTGGCCTACATGGCTAGTTCCAGGACAGCCAGGGCTATGCAGGGAAACCCTATCTCGAAAAACATATACATACATACATACATACATACATTGCAACTGACAAGCAAAAATATTATTTAAAAAATAAATTTAAGATTGCTGGGCCTTTCTGCTTTCCCTTTAGAATCAAGGTAATACAAAAAGGAATGTAATGGGACTAGAATTCCGGCCCATCCCCTTTAATAGCTCACAGTCTACTAATTGTTAATCTTTGAATTCTACGAGAGCATGTTTCTTCTACTGAAGTTTTGATAAGGGTTTTCCCTTTGATTTTTTTTTGTCAATATCTTTAAAGCATAGCATTTTGGGGGCCAGTTTTAATTTATTTTGTAATAATATAAACTGAAAAGTCTGAAATGAGTATTTTTATTGAAATAGGTTTATAACGGTTCAGTGCTATAAGGTCTAGTGAAGTTATCAATAAAAATCCCACTTGAATTAAGCTTCAGATTAAAATAATGGTGTGACTTAAAAGTGGTTTTGGGTTTTACTTTGGTTTTTTGTTTGTTTGGTTGGTTGGTTGGTTTTGATTTTTTGAAGCAAGGTTTTTCTTGTATACTCCTGGCTATTTTGGAATTTGCTATGTTGACCAGGCTGGCCTCAAACTCACAATGATCTGCCTGCTTCTGCCTCCCAAGTGCTGGGATTAAAGGCATGTACCACCATGCCAGTTGAAAGTGTTTTTTTAAGTCATGGAGTAAGTGATTACTGATCCACATCTATAGGAAGAGTTCTCATTATTGGAAATCTGGTAACAAACAAGAATAATGCCTTTCTGGGACTTCCTTTTAACTGGCTACTAGTGCCTGTTTACTTTTGTTTATCTTACTATTGAAATGATGTCTCACTATGTTGTTCAGGCTGGTTTTATCTTCAGAGACTGAGGGATCCTTCCACTGCAGACTCTAGGGTTGTAGGTATGTGTCAAACCCAGCTGAAAACATGGCAAACAACTTGTATGGAATTTTTTTTGGTTTGTGTTTTCTTTTGTTCCTGGGAATTCCATATGGGAGGACCCACATAGTAGGAAAGAACCAACTCCCTTTGACCTCCTTATATCTAAATAAATGAAAATTTTCTTTGTTTTGGTTTGGTTTTAGGTTTTGTTTGTTTGTTTTTCGATATATGGTTTCTCTACGTAGCCCTGGCTGGCTTTGATCTCACAGAGATTGCCTACCCCTGCATCCCTAGTGCTCAGATTAAAGGCGTGTACCACCACTGCCTGGCTAAGAAACAGTTAGGGTATAGATATAACTGGGCATGACACGCATTCCTTTAGTTCTCGTACTTGTGAGGTGGAGACAGAAAAATGAGACGTCTCAAAGAACAGCAATCATCCTACCTACTCACACTCCAAAGAAACTATGGATATGAATAGAATGATTAACATGTAAACCTAGAAGTAAGTTAGAATATAAATATTATACAGTTTCATTGAGTCCAAGTCTCTCAGTAGATTGCCTTATTGTATCTGTATGTGCAGCAATTTGGAACTAAATCATTGCTGTCTAGTGAAAGAATACAGCAGTATCAGTGAAAATCAATGAATTGTTGAGTCCGTGTACCATTAATACGCTTAGCTGAGTATTTCAGTGATGTAGCAAAGGAAAGTAGCATCTCCACCACTGCCAAGAAAGAGAGCAAAAGAAACTAAACAAACCTCAACAAAAAGCAGGATGTAATGGAAGTAGCACCAAGGGAAGATAATATTGATTCTTTATTCCTGGGTTTTACCTAGAAATTGATAAACACATATTCAGTTGTCATTCACCTGTACTCTGAAGCTAGTAATTAACTGACCACAGTACCTGAAACAGCTTATATTGCATGGGTATCGTTAACAGTTCCCTTGAGACCGACACTTAGGGGCATATGTTCCCTCTCTATTCCTTTTGTTACACCACTTCTCTGTTTCTGTAGAAATTGCAAAAGTTAAATTTCAGGTGGATTTCAACAAAAAAAAAAATGAATGGTGACCAGTTTGTTACAGTTTGTCACTTGTGGGAAAACTGCTTATGTACCTGTGTTAGTTAGATAACTATTACTAACCTAGAAATCAAATTAAGCTTTCTTTTCTTAGTTATGAAAAATACTACTTGATATGTTCCCTGTCTCACAATGGGAAGGACCTTTTTAAACCTATTCAGTCAAAGAAGGTTGGCACGTACAAGAATTTCTTCTATCTTATTAAATGGGATGAACTGTAAGTGGAATTTTTTGCTTTTCTAATTATTTCACTGTATCCTGTTCTTTAATTTTTCTAATGTATGCGTTATTTTTTATTATCATCTCCATTGAAATACAATAAATTCTTACATATGTTAAAATATCTTCTATACAAAATTCTATAAAACAAACTGAAATTAATGTGAAAAATTCTCAAGTATTCCTTTAAACCTTTATATTTTAAAAATTTAATAACATAGTATTAATTCTTCCTAGATTTTGTCATGCCAAAGATGGAAATTTACTCAGAACTCTAGAAATAGTGTTTAACAAACAGCTTACTTAAGTGTTTTATTATATAATAACACTGTACAAGAATCTAGCTCTTGATTAATAGACAACCAAACTAAATCTTTAATCTGTGTACATGATGATATTCTGTATTGTTAATGTTTTTTAAATGCTGTTTTCTTTTTAACAGAAAGAACTCATAATTATTTGGGTAAATAGCTAATTTTATTTTGCCTGATTATCAAACTTCATATCGTTAGGTACTTAGACTTTTTTTTTTTGGTACTTAGACATTTTTACAGAAAGAACTGGTACATTTTTTAAGTTTTATGCTGATAATGAAACGTAAGACTTAATAGTACAAGTTAGCCATAGTTGCTACTTAATTAAAAGTGACTCAAAAACTAGATTACTTTATAAATTAAGTAAAACACCTAAATTAGTCTTCATTAAATGATTACTAAGCCTCACTTTTAATCTAATTTTTTTTCTTAACACCAGTGAATTTTTTTTCTGCCCCGTAGAATCATTTTTCCTATCCAGATATCACAGTTGCCATTAGAGTCAATTCTTCATCTTACTCTGTTTGGAATCTTAAACCAGAGCAGTGGAAGTTCGCCTGATTCTAATAAACAGAGAAAGGGACCAGAAGCTTTGGGCAAAGTTTCTTTAACTCTTTTTGACTTTAAACGGTGAGTATTACTGAATTGTCATAGCGAGTTCTTGGACACATCTCTGCATTACAAACAGGCTAGGGACAGGATGGAAACGGTGACATACATGAGCTTTGAGCCAAGCAAAATAGTCACTTTGCTGTAGTCTCAATGTAATCTGTTAGGTGTGCAGAAGATTGCTTGCCACTCATTGTTCAAGTAGCCAATGACTGTCATTCCTGTAAAGTATATCATGACAGAATGCCATGGCTCTATCAGTTTTTCTTGATGCTAAAAGAACTCTGTTTTTCATATTTCCTGCCTTTCTCCAGTTTTAGAGATGTGACATGAATTTACTATTCTCACTAACCAGTACATAGTGTTGTAGGCCCTTGGTCTAAAGGATTCTAAACATTTCATATGTGGATAGTAACCTATTTGCGCTTGTGGAGGCCAAGTGCAACCCAATTGCCTTCTTCCAGAATACCATCCATCTTATTTCTGAGGTACAGGGTCTCTCACTGCCTGGGGCTTGTCAGTTAGGCTAACTTGGTTGGCCAGTGAGCTCCAGGAACCTATCTATGCACTGGCATTGAAAGTGTACACTGGCATACCTAGCTTCTTCTTCTTTTTGGTTTTTACGAGACAGGGTTTCTCTGTATTGTTTTGGAGGCTGTCGGTCCAGCCTGGCCTCAAACTCACAGAGATCTGCCTGCCTCTGCCTCCCCAGTGCTGGAATTAAAGGTGTGGGCCACCACCACCCGGCCATACCTAGCTTCTTAATATGAGTTCTAGAGATCAAACTCAGGTTCCCATGCTTGTAGCGATCACTAACTAATGAACCATTTCCCCAGCCTTGAAATTGATTTTTGAAAAATATAAAAGTTTATAAATGGAATAATGTAATGACAATTTGAATTTATCCCCTGGAACTAGAGTCACAAATGGTTGTGAACTGCCCAGCATGGGTCCTGAAAACCAAACTAAGGTCCTCTGGCAGAGCAGTAAGTGCTCTTAACCACTGCATCTCTCCAGCCTTTGTACATTCATACACAAAAAGTTTTAAAGACTAATCTTGGGAAAAAAGAAAATTTAACTGTGTAATGATTTATCAAAGTCTGTAAATGTTTTAAATAGACCATAAATTGGTAGTTGAGGGTGAGGATCAACATATGTAAGCCCCACTGTCTTTTTTCTTTTTCTTTTTCTTTTTTACATTTATTTTTAGTGTATGCATGTTGAGGTAAGAGAACAGTTTGCAGCAATGAATTCTCTCCTTCCACCATGAGGGTCTTTGTAATTGACTATAGGTTGTCTGGTGTAAGACATCTTACCAATCCCTACTGCCTAAATATATTTTGTTACAATATATCATACAGCATATTCACTTGCATATTATTCATAGCCACTTTGTATTATTATAGCCAAATGGAGATTTTGTAATAGAGGCTGTTAATGCTGAAGTTATAAGCATGTCCTACCATGTCCAGCCTTTTAACATTTATTTATTCATTTATATTTAGGTATGTTTCTTTTATGCATATGAATGTTTTGCCTGTATGTGTGTCTGTGTACCATGTACATGCACAGTGGTTACAGAGATCAGAATAGAGTGTAACTAGAGTTACAGACTGTTTTGAGCCACTGTATGAATGAAGGGAAATAAACCTGGTTACTCTGCAAGAGCAACAAGTGCTCTAACCCACTGAGCCAACTTTTTTTTTTTTTTTTTTTTTTTGCAGTAAGTCACTCTGTAGCCCAGGCTTATGGTTTTCCTGCCCCAGCCTCTGGGATACTGAGATTAAAAACACGTGCTGGTTCCTAAATATTTATTGTCTAGTCTTTTTAGAGAAAAAAACTTACTGAAGAATACGCAAATATAACTTACCTCAAATAATTTGTGCTTCAGTTCAAAGCAGTTACTGATTTTCTTGGCATGTGCTTTTTATTCTAATGGTAAAAATCAGGATGTAGTTCTATAATCCAAACCATGACCTTGAAGTCATGATCTCTCAAGAAAACTTTGAAAGACAATTTCTTTTTACCTTCCTATTTATAGAATGTTTTTGGGGACAGTGGTTGACCTTTCCCTTCTATGTTCTATCCTGAATGCCATTCTTTCCAAGATGCATTTTTATTCTCCCTTTCTTTATTCCCATCCCACACTTTTTTAATTTTTAATTTTTTTGTTTTGTTTTTTTGTTTTTTCAAGACAGGGTTTCTCTGTATTGCTTTGTAGGCTGTCCTAGAACTCGCTCTGTAGACCAGGCTAGTCTGGAACTCACAAAGATTCGCCTGCCTCTGCCTCCCGAGTGCTAGGACTAAAGGCGTGCGCCACCAACACTGGCTTAATTTTTTATTTTTAATTAATTTTTTTCATTTATTTTACATACTGAACACATTTTCCCCTCCTTCCTCTCCTCACACTTGCCCCCCTCCTTAATATTTTGCCAAACTTCTCAGTACAATTTGGCAGCTGACTCCTCCTAATATGTTATTAAAGACTATACTGCTTTTACTGTATTTCAAGTTGATTACCATGATGAAGATCACGGTATTGTTTTTATGTTCATGAAGGTTTTTAACATGTGGAACGAAACTTCTCTACCTTTGGACTTCATCACATACAAATTCTATTCCTGGAGCAATCCCCAAAAAAGGCTATGTCATGGAAAGAATTGTGCTACAGGTAATAGTAATTCTTGATACATGCAGGGCCTTAAATGTGAATGTCTTTGTAAAAAGTGTTTATGTATACCATGACTTGGGTTGTTTTAATCTCAGAATCTGTCTTCAGTTTAAGTGCTATAAAAATCATTTCCTGGGCCCACTCTCCTGTGTGCTATAGCTGGTGTGGGGCAGGGCAAAAGATTTTTTTTTCTGAATAATTTTATTGATTTCACTTACTCAGTGCCTAATACTTCTCCCTTCCTTCGTTTCTTTCTTTCTTCCTTCCTTCCTTCCTTCCTTCCTTCCTTCCTTCCTTCCTTCTTTCTTTTGGGGTTTTTCAGACAGGGTTTCTCTGTGTCTTTGGAGGCTGTACTGGAACTAGCTATTGTAGACCAGGCTGGTCTCGAACACACAGAAATCCACCTGCCTCTGCCTCCTGAGTGCTAGGCTTAAAGACTTGCACCAACAACGCCTGGCCTTTTTCCTTTCTTTCTTTCTTTCTTTTTTTTTTTTAATTTATTTTACATACCAACCACAGTTTCCCCTTCCTCCTCTCCTTCCAATCCCTCCCCCCCGCCATCTTCTACCTCAAGATCTTAATCTTCAGATATAAGGTTTTGTCATTAATCGCTCTCCACTGGAATGATCATGATTAGAAGACCTTAATTTAGTTTATCTGAGCACAAATTAAATAAGATAGGATTTTTTGTTGTTGTTTTGTTTTTGAGACAAGGTCTCTCTGTGTAGCTTTGGAGCTTGTCCTGAAACTCTATTTATAGACCAGGCTGGCCTTCAACTCACAGAAATGTGCCTGCCTCTGCGTAAGATAATATTTAAAAAGATTTCTTATGTCCTTTCAAAATTAAAATGCTATTAATTGAATTGTTTTCTAATTTGTCAGCTTTTAATGTCTAGGATTATGTACATTAATAATGTACTTCCTAATATTTAATTTGCATTTCTATTCTCAATTTTTGCTTCAAATAATAATCTAGGTTAAAATGTCAAATAAAGGGATATTAAACAATCTGCTTTTCAGGCATATGTAGAGTGTACTTGGATCTTATTTATATCCTCTATTAGTGCTTTGTATCTTTTCTCCCATTTTAATCTTTCCACATTCTACATCCTTATTATTATTCCATTTAATTAGATGTCCTTCCCCCATGCTGGTTTCCACACGTGAGAAACAACATATGGTATTACTTTTTGTAGTGTAGGGCTGCCTTCTTAACTCAATATGATGATTCTTTAGTCCCATCTCCTTATGCAAATAACATGATGTCATTCAATGTTATGGCTGAATAAAATTCTAATAATTAAAAAAAATCTGCTTATATTTCAAAGCAAATGTCATATTAGAAGTCTACCAGATCCCAGCTGACCTGAACAAGTGGGAGATCTTGGACCCCAAACTGATGGCTGAGGGGCCAGCATGGGATCTATCCAGACCCCCGAATGTGGGTGTCAGTGAGGAGACCTAGGCAATCTATGGGGCTTTGGGTAGTAGATCAGTATATATCCCTTGCACACAAATGGACTTTGGGCATCCATCCCACAATGAGGGATGCTCTCTAAATCTGGACACTTGGGGGAGGGCCTAGGCCTTCCTCAGAATGAAATGACAGACTCTAGAGATCCTCCATGGAAGGCCTTACCCTCCCTAGGGAATGGAGTAGTGATTGGGTGGGAGGCTGGGGGAGAAGCGGGTGTGGAGGGGAGGGAGAGGGAGCTGGGACTGACATGGGAAGCAAGCTTGTTTCTAATTTAAATATATAATAAAAAAAGTGTTTCAAAAACAAAAAGAAGTCTACCAGATAATATAATTATAAATTGCTTATATGGATAATATAAGTAAATTAATTTAAAAATAATAATATCTTCCATAAAATTACATTAAAATCTGTAACTGAAACTCACCCTGGTAGTGAGGACAAGGGAGAGCTGACGAGCTGGCCAGCCCTGCAAAACTTCCTAGGCCCTGAATCGGGGTTATGAGTTGGCCCACCTCAATATCCACCCCATCTATGTTCTGCTGGAGCACATGAACGGGTGCTGGTCCTGCAGATCCAACACTGCAGAACCTCCACAACACATGGCAACAACAGAATATCCAAGAGGAGTCCCAGGGAGGGCCTGGCATCAACAGTGGAGCAAAAACCAGAGGCCTCAAACCAGATCAATGACTCTTTGCAATGAACACTTGCAAGTAAAGACATATGGATAAAAGGGTTTACTGCATGACTCACTGTGTCACGCTACAGCTTCCACAACCAGATTGGTTTTTTTTTCCTTTTATTTTTGGGGGTTGGGGGGTTGCAAGGGCAGAGGACGGATACAAAAGGATGGGGAAATGAATGGGATCAAAATGCATGATGTGAAAGGCACAAAGAATAAATAAAATGAACATTTAAAAACAAAATTTCCTGTTCCTGAGAAAGTAAAACATGCCCTGTATCTATCCCAAGAACTATATACATGCTTTTGAGAGTGACCAGCTATTGGTAAAAGAAGCACCAATATTATACTTAATATAAACTTTCCTAGGTTTTTATGAAAATTCAATTTCCTGAAAGACAAAGATGCTAATATGGAAAATGGGCTATAATTTGAGCAGTTTCAGTAGGCATTGGTAGTGCATGCCTTTCATTGTAGCATTCAGGAGACAGAGGCAGGCAGACCCCTGAGTTTGAGGCTAGTCTGGTCTACAGAGCAAGTTCCAGGACAACCAGGGTACAGAAAGAAACCCTGTCTTGGAAGAAAAAAAAAAGTTAAAAAAAATACAAAACAAAACACACACAAAAGTTCAGTGTTCTGTTAATTTTTTCAGGTTGACTTTCCTTCTCCTGCATTTGACATTGTTTATACATCTCCTCAAATTGATAGAAACATTCAGCAATACAAGTTGGAAACACTGGAGAACGATGTAAAGGGAAAACTTCTGGATATTCTTCACAGAGACTCATCATTTGGGTATGCATTATTTATTATTTTCTTGGGAATCTCCTGTGGTATAAAACTCAGGTTAAGGGCTTATATTATAGCCTGATTCCAAAGTGCTCTTGATATGAAGGAGGCTGTATGGGGGCTCAGAGTACAGCATGATCCCAGCACTGCCAATGAAAGACTGGCTACATACAAATCAGGCAATTATATAAATCTGTTGTTTAGTCTCTTTTATGTTAGATATTTCTACAGTGCATTCGTGTGTGTCCATTCAGATAGAGATCAACAGGGGTGTCTTTGTCTCTGTCTCTTTAACTTTTTTCCTTTTTTTTTTTTTTTGTTGTTTTTTTTTTTTTGAGACAGACTTACTGAACTTGGAGCTTGCCAGTTGACTAGGCTGGCTAGCCAGAGAGCTTTAGGGGTCCTCTTGTCTCTTCATTCTCAATGCTGGGGTTACATATACATACTGCCACACCAAAGTTTTATGTTAGTACCAGGGATCCAATCTCAGGTCCTCATGTTTGCACAACAGGCACATAATCCACTGAGCCATTTACTAAGACCGTTTTTTACTGTATGTATGTGCATATAGAGACCAGAAGTAAACATTAAGTGTCTTCCTTCATCATTTTCCACCTTAGTTTTTGAGAACTGGGTCTCTGACTGAATCTGGATCTTGCTAGCAAGTTGAATAGACTGGCTGGCCATCAGGTCCTAAGAATCTGCTTGTCTAGCATCCAGCTGTTTTAAAACAAAACACTTCATTGCTAGGAATCGAATTCATGTTCTTATACGTGCATAACAAACACTTTCCCAACTGAGCCATTTTCCAGTCCTTATATTACCAAAACAGTTTGAGAGATTTATAATACCAGTTGATTAATTTGCTTAACCTATAAAGAACCTTTTCATAGGCCAACAAGGTGGTGCAGCACATAAAAGTGCTTGCCAGTAAAGCCTGGTCACCTGAGTCTAATCTTATAGCCCACATAAAGGTGAAAGGAAGCCGGGCGTTGGTGGCGCATGCCTTTAATCCCAGCACTCGGGAGGCAGAGGCAGGCGGATCTCTGTGAGTTCGAGACCAGCCTGGACTACCAAGCGAGTTCCAGGACAGCCTCCAAAGCCACAGAGAAACCCTGTCTCGAAAAACCAAAAAAAAAAAAAAAGTGAAAGGAAAGCACAAACTCCAAAACTTGTTACCTGACTGCCACACATGCTATATGGCATGCATACCCAAGCACACATAACACACGCATGCACACACACACAAAAATAAAATCAATAATTTGTTTAAAGAGCCTTTTATGTCAGTAAACAACTAAATAGTAACAGAAATGGGATGAGCAGGAAGTTCTTTGGGAAAGAACTTTAATGCCTCTCAAACTTCATATAAGACAAGCCCTTAGTAAAACTTAGATATAAATTAATACAATGTGGTATCTAATATCCAAGTAGCAAAAATTTTAAATCATCGTCCTATGAAGCTAGATTGAAAATACATTTTACAAACAGAGACAGAATTATTTTATGAGACCATATCCCTTTTGGAAAGCATTTTGACAAAATCTCTAGATATTATAATGTATGTACCCTGCAACTCAGCAGTGCTGCTTCCTAGCATAAAGTAGAGAAAACCTTCATCTATTTCCTTATGGGAACAAGAATGTTCTTTGTGATAATCATTTGGGTGGTTAAAGCCTGATGGTTAATGTCCATTGGTAGAAATTAAATTGGCTAGTTAACAATAGTGACTATTAAGGAGAATATAGATGTATATACTAGTACATGATAGACTAACTAGATGGAGAAACCAAGCAGCAGTTTAGGATAGTGTTACCATCAACACAAAGGAAATAAAATCTAAAACACCGCATGGATACTTCTGTGTGACTAGACCATCTCTGGAAGCATAGGAAATGTTTGTGTGTAGAATTAGGAAAACTTCTGTCTTAGTTAGGGCTACTGTTGCTGTGATAACACCATAACCCATGCAACTTGGGAAGGAAAGTGTTTATTTGGCTTATGCTTCACATCACTGTTCATCACTGAAGCAAGTCAGGACAGGAATTCAACAGGGCAGGAGCTAATGCAAAGGCCATGAAATGGTGCTGCTTGCTGACTTGCTTCTCATGGCTTGCTCAGCCTGCTTTCTTATAGAACTGGGATGACCAGCCTAGGGGTGGCCCTATCCACAATGGGCAGGGCCCTCCTTCATCAATCACTACTTAAGAAAATGCTCTGTAGGCTTGTAACTATAGCTTGTGTCAAGTTAATTTTAAAGTAGCCAGCACATCTTCATTAGGTGCTTTTTGTCAAATTTGTGGGTTTTTTATGCTACACATGAGATGAATATATTAGTGATATTTGCTATACATTGAATATTTCTGCTTCATATTAATGTTAGCAGTGTCAAGTAGTAGTCACTTGTCATAAATGAGTACATTTCTTCTTTGACTGTTTAATTATTGAGATTATTGCTGTGTTACAGTTCAACTGAGAAGTAATTTAATTCTATTATATATGCAGACTTTCTAAAGAAGATAAAGTCTTTTTGTGGGAAAAACGCTATTATTGCCTCAAACATCCAAATTGTCTTCCTAAGATACTAGCAAGTGCTCCAAACTGGAAATGGGCTAATCTTGCCAAAACTTACTCATTGCTGCACCAGTGGCCACCATTATGCCCATTAGCTGCATTGGAGCTTCTTGATGCAAAGTAAGTTAAATATATTTGATTTTTTATTGTCAAGTTTTCCAGCAATGTGTTATGCTCCAGGGGTACTTCCCTATTAATATAAAAACAGCATTTAATATAAATATAATATAAATGTGTACTTGTAATTTATATAAACATAATCTTTTTTCATTGAAATGGTCAAGAAAGCATTTTGTGTCATTTAAAGCTTACCTAAAGAAAGAATTAAGTGTAATTTTGAATAATTTATTGTATTAATATTTTATTAGTTACTTGTAATTTATGATTATTTTAATAATAATTATAATTTATGGGGACAAAGTTAATTTTTAATAACGCTAAAGTTTGGAACTAATCTGGGAACTGAATCTTTATTTACACAGTAAATTTTTCCTCCTTTTGAAAAAAAGAAAGGTGTTAAGGGAAGGGTAATAGAAAATACAAGAAGGAATAGTAAGAATGGAAGGTTTAAGTGGAAATTGTTGGGGAGGGTCACCCAGAACTCAGTATGTATGAAAATTCCATTAGGAACTTTCTATGTAAACTAGGCTAGCCTTACACTCAAAGATTGGCTTGCTTCTGCCTCCTAAGGAGCTGTTGACTCCTTTGGGAATCAACAAAGTTTGGCATACCAAGTTGAGGGCAGGACCAAGCCCCTCCCCATTGTATCAAGGCTGAACAAGGTATCCCACCATAGGGAGTAGGTTCCAAAAAAGCCAGTTCATGCCCCTGAGATAGTTCCTTGTGCCACTACCAGCTCCCCCCCCCCCCAACCAACAGATCAAATCACATAACTGTCACCCACATTGAAAGGATCTAGTTTGGTCCCATGCCGGTTTCCCAGCTGTCAGTCTGTGAGCTCCCTCTAGCTTAGGTCAGCTGTCACTGTGGTTTTTCCCATTGTGTCTTGACCATCACCCTACCACCATTTATGTGATCTCTCCTCCCCCTCTTCAACCAAACTCCAGGAGCTCTACCCAGTGTTTGAGTTACTGGATGTAGGTTCTGTGATGACAATTAGGGTAATCTGATAAAAGGGGAAGGCCCGTTCTGACAGCCCCTACACTATTACTGGGAGTCTTAGTAGGAGTAATCCTTGTGGTGGGTTCCTGATCATTTCTGTAGCACCAGGTTTCTCCCTAACTCCCATAAATGGCTCCCTCTATCAAGATGTCTCTTGCATTCCTCTCACCCTCTCTCCATCCCTCCCCTAACTTGGTCTTAACAGTACATTGGTTTTGAGTAAGAGCCATTTGAATCTTCTTTGTCAGGGACAGACTAAAACTGTTTTCAGTTAATGTTGCTGCATTCGCAAGAAATCACTATTAAATATTCATTTTCTGATATTCTAGATTTGCTGATCAGGAAGTACGATCTCTAGCTGTAAGCTGGATCGAGGCCATTAGTGATGATGAGCTAACAGATCTTCTTCCACAGTTTGTACAGGTGGGAGTTTTTACTATGCTACCTTGCTTCCTACTCACCCTAGCTTCAGTTAGTAGGGAACTGGCTATGGGACCCCTTTTATGTTTTAAAATGCCATTGTAGTACAGCAGAAATGTTGAGGACATTGTGGGAGAATATAGTAAGATCTTCCATTACTATTGTCTTTCTCACTTGAGTATGGCATAGGTAATGTGGCATATGACCCTGTGAACTTTAAATTTTCAGAATTTTTTTTTAATTTTTCAAGACAGGCTTTCTTTGTATAGCCCTGCTGTCCTAAAACTAGCTTTGTAGTCAAGCTTGTCTCAGACTCAGAGATCTTCCTGGCTCTGCCTCCTGAGTGCTGGGATTAAAGGTGTGCACCTGGCAATTTTCAGAAATTTTCCAGACTTGAGCTTTTTTTGCTTTGCCAGTGAAACATAACCATAAATAGATAGTGGTATTCCTGTTGATTTCAGTAATTTGGTCTATATTCATATGATTTTTATTTTTTGAAACAGGCTCTCTATGTAGCCTTGGCTATCCTGGAACTCACTTATGTAGAGCAGGCTGACCTTGAGCTCACAGAGATCCATCTGCCTTTGCTTGTTGAGTTCTGGGATTAAAGGCATATATCATCACACTCAGCCCCTATAGTAATTTTTTAAATATTAATTTATTTGCAGTGCTATGGATTGAAGGAATGGCAGGAATGGCATTGCTTCTGCTAAGCAAGTCTTCTACCACTGGGCTATAAAACCTAACCATTTTGGGGGCTGGAGAGATGGCTCAGAGGTTAAGAGCACTGGCTGCTCTTCCAGAGGTCCTGAGTTCAATTCCCAGCAACCATATGATGGCTCACAACCATCTATAATGAGATCTGGTGCCTCTTCTGGCCTGTAGGCAGACATGCAGGAAGAACACTGTATACTTAATTAATAAATAAATAAGGTCTTGAGGGAAAAAAAAACCTAACCATTTTGTTTCTGCAAGTATATTTTCACCAATGAGTAGTATTTAGTCTACATATTTGATGGCTTTTATCTGAACTATTTGGTAGGTTTGACTGCTAATAATTCTTGTTTCCTTTTATGCATAGGCTTTGAAATATGAAATTTACTTGAATAGTTCACTGGTGCGCTTCCTTCTGTCCAGGGCATTGAGCAATATCCAGATAGCACACAGTTTGTACTGGTAAGATGTAAATTTCATTAAATGGCTCCTTTCTTTTGCAGATATTGGCAGAGTTGGCATAATTGCTAGATATAAACAGTGTGTTCATGCTACTTGCTATGAGTAACCAGTTGTGTAGTGAATATTATTTTAAAGAAACTGAAAATTTTGTCTTTAGAAATAAAACCAAAATTAATAAAACTGAACAGTATTTGAGCATCACAGCCTTATAATAACTAATGGACCTTTTCTTACATATATGTGACTTAATTTCCTGGATATCCAAAGTAGAACTTGTTAAAGTGATCTTTGAGGAAGCTTCATCCAGTTCTCAAAAGTGGCTGACATAAGTGTTTTTTGTTGCATTAGGCTTCTCAAGGATGCTTTGCATGATACACATTTTGGAAGCAGATATGAGTATGTGTTGGGTGCTCTCCTCTCAATAGGAGGAAAAGGACTCAGAGAAGAACTTTCTAAGCAAATGAAACTTGTACAACTTTTAGGAGGAGTAGCAGAAAAAGTAAGACAGGCTAGTGGATCAACCAGACAGGTATGTATGAAAGAGAACACAAGTGTTTTGCTTTTGAGACAAATCTCTCTCCATAACTAGGCTAGTCCCTGTGTCCTGCTGCCTAAGCCTCCTGAGTGCTGAGATTGCAGATGCTTGCCACCACAGTTGGTCAGCTGGAATTTTAATAAGAACTATGTTGACTCTATAATTATAATAATGTACCTTTATTTTTTATTCAGTTTTTTGTTTGTTTGTTTGGTTGGTTTTTTTTTCTAGAGAAGGGGTCTCTCTAAAAAATCCTGACTATCCTTGAACTCACTAGGTAGGCCAGACTGATCTCAAACTCACAAAGATCCTCTTGCTTCTGCCTCCTAGTGCTGGATTAAAGTGTTCACCATTACACTTAGCCATAATAATGTATCTTTATTCTTGAACTCAACTTGCCTTACAGTTCATGAACACAGAGAAGGGAAATGTTTTTATATTTAGATGTTCTTAAATTCTTTCAAAAATTGTTCCTGTTTTTGTTTTGTGTTTTTAAAAATGACTTTTTTTTACTTTATCTTAGAAAATTCTTGTGAGCACAGTTACACTTAGCATTCAATAGGTATATAATGTCACAAAGTACTTAGAATATCATTTGTGAACCTCCATGTCCATTGTTTATACATACTTCTTTCCCAAGTAATGCTATGAATATTCATGTACACATACATAATTGCAATCATCTTTACCTGTTTCCTAGCATTTCTTCTTTCTATCTTTTTTTAAAAAATATTTTATTTATTTACTGTGTATACAGCCTTCTGCCTGCAGGCCAGAAGAGGATACCAGATCTCATTCAAGGTGGTTGTGAGCCACCATGTGGTTGCCGGGAATTGAACTCAGGACCTCTGGAAGAACAGTCAGTGCTTTCAACCACTGAGCCATCTTTCCAGCCCTCTTCTTTCTATCTTTTTATGTTTTGAAAGGATGTTGTCCAGGATGGTCTCAGACTACTGAGTTGTCTTGCAATCCTGTTTCAATCTCCCTAGTAACTTTTTCTATAGATATCTGTTACTGCTCCAGGCTTGCTTTAGTTTCTTTATGGAATATTCCTATGGACAAAATAGTCAAGTTAAGAGTTATATACATTTTAACTATAATGACTTCATTAGATTGTTAGATGGTTTCTCTAAAAAGCCACACTGGGCATGATGACACATGCCTTTAATTCCAGCACTTTCCAGTCAGGCAGATATCTGTGAGTTTGGGGTCAGCCTGATCTACAGAGTAAATTCCAGGATAACCAAAACTATATAATGAGACCCTATCTTAAAAATAAATAAAATAAAGGATAGATATTAGGGGGTGACCTCTGGTAGGTTTCCTATAACCCAGTGAATGACCCCACACCCTTGTGTATATGGGCATTCCCAATTGGACTCAGTGAAAAAAGAGAGTTCGTTATATTGGGAGGGACATGTGTTAGGGTATGTAGAACAAGGTGGAAATGAGCAACATGCATTATATATACATAGATGAAATTTTCGAAGAACATATCTTCAGTGCTCAAAGATGGCTCTGTCAGTAAAGTACTTGTAGCACAAGTTTGAATTTGGATCTCCAGAACCCACATAAAAAGGCAGACCAATGGTACCCACCTGAAATCCCAGTGCTGGGGAAGCAGAGACAAGAGGATACCTGGGACTCACTAGCCAGCTAGTCTAGCCTAATCAGCAAGCTCCAGGTTCAATGAGAGAGACTATCCAGAAAAATAAAGTGAAGAGTGATTACAGAAGACACCCACCATTGACCTGTGGCCTCCTATGAGTATGTACCTGCACACACATGTTCATACTCAAGAATGAATAGATCTTCATTTTCATGATGTACTTACAGAGGCAATCTCTTTCATAGGTGGTGCTCCAAAAGAGTATGGAACGAGTACAGTCCTTTTTCCTGAGAAATAATTGTCGTCTTCCTCTCAAACCAAGTCTAGTGGCAAAAGAATTAAATATTAAGGTAACACAATACTTTCAAGTTCATATAAGCATCAAAATAAAGCACCAGAAGAAGTGTTGCTTAATACAAGTGAGGATGAGACCTGTAGTTTTTAAGTACCTAGGAAAGGGTGCCATTGGATCTATTTTTCAGTTTTTTTTTTTTTTTTTTACCTAATCAGTATTCCTGAAAGGCATAGTGTCAGATTTTTTTTTTTAATTACTTTGGGTCTTGTTTATATTCTTAAATTATGGTGATGGTCTTACACTAGCTTTTTGCAAGTTTTAAGATAAGATTTTGTAGCTTTATGGTAACACTTGTCCAGCATGTGTAAGGCCTGAGTTCAATCCCCAAATGTGATTTGATCTAGGCCGTGAAATTATTACAGTGTTAGTATTTAATTGCACCAGTACATATGGGAAAGTGGAGCTGTTATCTCAGATCAGAATGAGTGTCAGACAACTGTGTGTTCTGTTGGGAGATTCAGATACTTAACAGTTCAGACAGGCTCTAAAAGGTTTTTGCACCAAATTTTAAATTTTTTTGTTTTTCTGCCTTTATAGAGTAGCTATTTTACTGATATATGCTGTTTAAATTTCAAGAGCTATTTACATATCCATATTATTGACAGATCATGTAAATGCTAATTAACATCCATTGTTTGATTTGCTGTAATTTAAAGCAGCAGATGAAAAGGAAAAATATCAGGAACAGTAAATTTAAACTTTACTTTCATGCTACTGTCTGCCTTTCTAATGCTCAGTGTTGTGCTTGCAGTCATGTTCTTTCTTCAGTTCTAACGCTATGCCTCTGAAAGTCACAATGGTGAATGCTGATCCCATGGGGGAAGAAATTAATGTCATGTTTAAGGTGAGATGAATAGTTATTCTGTGGTTTTTGTTTCTTGAGGTTTTTCAGGAGGGATTGGTTTGGGTTTCAGACAGGGTCTCTCTATGTAACGTGGCTATCCTGGAACTTGCTATGTAGACCAGGCTAGAATGAACTTGCAGTTATCTGCCCATGTGTACCACCATACCAGGCTTTCTCTTGTTTTGGGGCCCATCCCACCCACCCCACCCTACCCCCAGACATGGTTTCTCTGTGAACCTCTGGCTGTCCAGGAACTCAATTTGTAGGCCAGGCTGGCCTGGAACTCACAGAGATCCACCTGCCTCTACCTCTCAAATTCTGGGATTAAAGATGTGCGCCACCACTGCCTGGCTAAACATTTATTTAATATCGAAGTTAAATCAGTAATATTTAAGATCGTAGCACACACCTGTAATTCAATGCTTAGGAAGTATAGGAAAGGAAGACCACAAGTTCTAGGCCAGCATCAACTGTGAAACTCTGTCTCATAAAAAACAGATGAAGCCAGGCATTGGTGGCTCACTCTTTTAATCCCAGCACTCGGGAAGCAGAGGCAGGTGGATCTCTGTGAGTTCCAGGCCAGCCTCGTCTACAGAGTGAGTGCCAAGATGGGCTCCAAAGCTACACAGAGAAACCCTGTCTCAAAAAAACAAAACAAAACAAACAACAACAAAACATAAATGATGGGAGCAATTTGAATATTTCTGTAAAATTATTATAACAAAATCTTCACAGATAGGACTGGGGACAACTGTAGCCATTGGCCAACCAGGTGAGCATATCACAACAGGCAAGCACCACTAGGTTTGCCAAGCTGCAAAACCAGAAAGAGTGACATTACTTAAAGGATTGCTTGTGTGAGACAGCATCTCACAGTATAGTCCTGGCTGGCCTTGAGCCCTGGATCATCCAGTCATGTGCTGGGATTACAGGGGTTAGCTACCATACCTGACTATTAGGTTTTAGAAACATAGAGATTACCTATGTGAAGCAGAGGACTGGAGTATTAGGAAAAATATCTATTACCTATTGAAATTTTGTTAGTTGTGATCATAATGTGTATATGTTGAAGAAAGGATGAAGACTTCTGAATAATTCATTAAATTCATTAATTGGAGGCTCATAAAGTGTAAAAGGAATTCTTACTTGGTCTGAATAATAAAAATCTAGAGTCAGATGTAGAGGAAAATGCTGAGAGATCAGAGAGAAGGAGGAGCAAGCCACAGTCACACATTACCTCCTTAGCATCCCAGCAGACAAGAGAGCGAGTTCCTGTTTCTGCCCGCTTATATTTCTGCCTGCTTATGTCCTCTCTCCACCTGGCTATCTCACTTCTTGTTTAGACCTGTACAGACCTCCAGACCTCTGTGGCTAGCTAGTGGCAAGCTCCATTCTGTGACCTTCAGACAGGCTTTATTTGTACAAACAAGATATGACCACAATAAAGATAGCTTAAATTGAACCTTCTTTGATAGATACAAATATCTATTTGTTTATTGATATTTGTGCCTTTTCTTAAAACAATACCATCTATTTTAATGATAGATATTTTACAACTTGTCTCAATATTTGTTAAGGCAAATCCCACTTAATCTTTTTCATAATTTTCTTGGCTAGCCTCAAAACTATATTTATCATTGTTTATGTTAAAACTGTTATTCAGCCAGGTGTGGTGGTACACATGTTTAATCCCAGCTCTTGAGAGGCAAAGGCAGAAGGCTCTTTTAGTTCAGGGCCAGCCTAGTGAATATAGTCAGTTCCAGGCTAGCAGCCAAGGTTGCAGAGTGAGACCCTGTCTCAAAAGATAATAGCAAAATAAATTATGTGATCCAGTTTTTAAAAGAAAGTGAAATTTTGCTAACATTCCTGTTAGACTTATTCATTCACGGAGGGCTAATATTTAGATTTGTTCATCGTATGTGTATGAATGTTTGTCTGAGTGTGAGCCACCAAGTTTGGTGCTGGAAACTGAATCTAGGACCTCTGCAAGAGCATCAAGTGATCTTAACCTCTCCAGTCCCAGAAGGACTAATATTTTAAGTGACCTTTTATTTTGAAATGATTGTAGATTTATAGACAATTATAAGAAATTACCTAGAGATTCTTTTTTTAAAGAAATTTATTATGTATACAACATTCTGCCTACATGTATCTCTGCATACCAGAAGAGGGCACCAGATCTCATTATAGATAGTTGTGAGCCACCATGTGATTGCTGGGACTTGAACTCAGGACCTCTGGAAGAACAGCCAGTGCTCTTAACCACTGAGCCATCACATAGGGATTCTTGTTGGACCTCTTATATAACTGTAATGTAATATATTATAGTCAGAATGTTAGTATTGATGTCAAGAAACAAACTATGACAAGATCTCTATGATTTCCTTTTTTGTTTTGTTTTGTTTTTGAGACAGGGTTTGTCTGTAGCTCTGACTGTCCTGGAATTTACTCTGTAGACCAGTCTGACTCAGATTATAGTGTCTCTGCTTCCTGAGTACTGGGATTAAAGGTGTGCTACCACCACCTAGCTTCCTTTTATATTTTAATTGAAGGTAAAAACATACTCTTAAAATTCAACTTTTTTTTCCATTTAGTAACATTAACATTTATTCCTACACATCCACCAGTGATATGACATTAGTTTATGAATTTTTATATTGAATCTTAAACTTGGACATTATGAATCAGCAAATATTATTCTTCAATACTTTGGTGAGTGTTAATCCAAGTTTTTGCTTTTTAAGACTGTATATATAACATTTTGTGCAAGACACTTGAGTTAACACACAAAGTGTAAATGAATTGATTATTTAGCAGTGTTAACTTTTATAATTTGGAAATGAAAATTCCCATTTATTTAGACATTTTAGATATTTTTACTAGATACCTAAAAATTTTTCGGCCGGGCGTTGGTGGCATACACCTTTAATCCCAGCACTCAGGAGGCAGAGGCAGGCGGATCTCTGTGAGTTCGAGGCCAGCTTGGTCTACAGAGCGAGTTCCAGGACAGCCTCCAAAACAATACAGAGAAACCCTGTCTCAAAAAAAATTTTTTTCACACATTGACCGTGCCAGGACATAAAGTAATTTTAGCCAAAGAAAAGTGCAATTAAAATTCAACTTTTTAAACATACTGTTGAACAGAGTGTATCTCAGTGATAGAGTACTTGCCAAGTGTACACTAGGTCAAAGAGAGTTGGTCCCCAGCACCTCAGAATTAATTAAAATAAAATACACCCTTCATGAAATGGAGACAGAAAGCATTTTAATTAAGTTTCTCTAGGACGACACAGAAGAGTACAGTGCGGCTCTGAAAATCCCTTTTGTCTGTGCATGCCCTTCCAAACACCCCTCAGATCTTATAGCATGTAGCAAACTCTTGGGGAAAGGTGCAATATTTACTTCCTTAATTTCAAGGTTGGTGAAGATCTTCGGCAAGACATGTTAGCCTTACAGATGATAAAGATTATGGATAAGATCTGGCTTAAAGAGGGACTGGATCTGAGGATGGTGATATTCAAATGCCTGTCAACTGGCCGCGATCGAGGTAGGTTTATTAGTTGAATCTTGATTTCTTTCTTTTGTCACATGAGCATAGCTTACTCTTGAACTTACTTTGGGTTGTATACTTACAGCTCCTGGTGCCAGCTTACTGGGGTCTTAGTTATTTGTATCTGGTATTATTTGTTGACTGGATTATTTATGATTAAATCCTTTTAAAAACAACTACACGTCGATGGGTGGTGGTGGTGCATGCCTTTGATCCCAGCACTTGGGAGGCAGAGGCAGGTGGATCTCCTATGAGTTCCTGGACAGCCAGGGCTACACGAAGAAACTCTGTCCCAAAAAAACAAAACAAAACAAAAACTACAAAGCATTTAATAGAACTACTACTAGCTAGGTGGTGGTGGCACATGCCTTTAACAGCACTTGGGAGGCAGACAAAGGTTGATCTCAGTGAGTTCAAGACCAATCTGGTCTACAAAGCAAGTTCCAGGACAGACAGAACTGTTAGAGAAACCCTGTCTCAGAAAAACAAAAACAATAAAGAACTACTAAGAAAACAGCTCAGTAGGTAGTCCTAATAAACACTTTGTAGTAATCAGAAGTACAAATTAATTTACCCAATAAGGACTTCACTTAATTAAGCCAATTTTGAGTTCATCTCCTTAAATAAATAGTGATTTTGCTATTTGTGTGTGTTGGGTGGGGTAGGCACACGTGTATGTAGATCAGAGGACAACTTTCAGGAGTCGTTATCTTTTTTTTCTTCTATGGATTCTAGGGATTGAAATCAAGTTGTCAGCCTAGCATGGACACTTTTACTCACTTAGCCACATTGGTACTCAGTTGACAAGTTTTTGAAATAATGACTGATAACAATTCATTCATTATGTGATATATTTTACATGTTCATTAAATGACATCATCATTGTTCTTTTTTGATTTGTTTCTGGTTTGGTTTTTCTAAGATAGGATTTCTCTATGTTGCTCTGTCCTGGAAGTCATTCTGTAGACCAGGCTGGCTTCAAACTCACAAAGAGCCACTTGCCTCTGCCCCCCAGTGCTGGGATTAAAGGCATGTGCCACCACCCAGCATTATTGTTATTTTTAGTTTATGTTATGTATGTGGGTGTTTTGCTAGAATGTATCTATTCGAGTGCCTGGTGCCTGTGAATGCCAGAAGGAGGCATCAGATCTTCTTGCATTGGGTTGTGCCTAGCTACCATGTGAGTGCTGGAATTTGAACCTGGTTCCTCTGGAAGAGAATCCAGTATTCTTAACTGCTGAGTCATTTCTCCAGTCCTTGGATGCTTTTAAAAAATAAGATATTATTTAGGCTGCTCACATTTTCAAACATGACTTGCCAGATTTGGTGTCTGATTTCAAGGATTGAAAGCTAAATGTATTTTAGAGACTTACTCTGTGGACACATTTTCACACAGCTTGATATTTTGTTTGTTAAAGGCATGGTGGAGCTAGTTCCTGCATCAGATACCCTCAGGAAAATCCAAGTGGAATATGGTGTGACAGGATCTTTTAAAGACAAACCACTTGCCGAGTGGCTGAGGAAATACAATCCTTCTGAAGAAGAATATGAAAAGGTGATCAGCATGTTTACTTTGTCAAAATACATTTTGAAACTTAATATTTCTCTTAAGACCTGTTATAGTATTACTATGGCTTAAGGAAGACTCATAATTACTTTGAATGGTAACCTAAGAAGGCTCCAGCTTTGTTTAGTTTCAATTAATGTTTTTAGTAGCTGGTGAAGAATTATGTTTCCATATGGCATTTTTCAGATAAACTTTGCTTTTGTTGTTTGTCTTTCCTCCTCTCTTCCCTGTCCTCTGCTCCTGTTTGAAAAGTCCCCAGTTGGGGCTGGAGAGATGGCTCAGAGGTTAATAGCACTGGCTGCTCTTCCAGAGGTCTTGAGTTCAAGTCCCAGCACCACATGGTGGCTCACAACCATCTATAATGAGATCTGGTACTCTCTTCTGGTGTGCAGGCAGGAACAATGTATACACAATAAATAAAATTTGAAAAAAAAAAAGAGTCCCCAGTTTTGGGATCTGTTTTGGTTTTTGGTTTGTTTGTTTTTCTAGACAAGGTTTCTCTGTAGCTGTGGAGCCTGTCCTGGAACTAGCTCTGTAATCCAGGATAGTCTCAAACTCACAGAGATCCACCTCCCACTGCCTCCCAAGTGCTGGGTCTAAAGTTGTGTGCCACCACCACCTGGCAAGACCCCAGTTTTAATGTCATTTAGATTCCTAATTTAGGTGCTATTAATGTCATTTTTATCCTATCTGTTGACTTGTGAAGGGAAAGCAAGAGAACTTTATGTTTTCTTGGTCTTTTAGAGTGGTTTAGTTAGAGCATTCCCATTGTTTAAATACTTTTTGACAGGGTCTTTCCACATAGCCCCTGACTGTCCTGGAACTCACTATGTAGACCAAGCTACCCTTAAACTCACAAAGTTCTGCTTGCTTCTGCCTCCTTAGTTCTGAGATTAGTACCTACCATGTCTGGCTCCATTTTTAATTTTTTGTAGTCTTGGGAAGCAGTATGGTAGAAGACAATAGTTCTTCATTTTAATATTGACTTGTGATTCCTGATAAGATGTTGTCCCAAGGGGGCTGGAGAAATAACTAAGTGGTTAAATAGTACTATCTACTCTTCCAGAGGACCCAGCACCCACATGGCAGGTCACAACTGTCTGTAACTCCAGTTCCAAGGGATCTGACACTCTCACATCAGTGTACATCAAATAAATTAAAAAAAAAAAAGAAAAAGATGTTGGCCCAAAATGGTTGTTGAATGTAGATGGAGTTTTCCTGTCCTGACTGCCTGCTCCCATATAATGGGTAGCTACTTCCTAAATAACAGACTTGGAGACTTAGTATAAATTATAAATGCTCAGCTGATAGCTCAGCCTTTTTACTAATTAGCTCTTACATTTAAATTAGCCCATTTTCTTTGCTTTGCCTTGGGGTGGTGGTCTGGCTGGGGTCTCCTCTGACTCTACCCTTCTTCCCATCATTCTTGTAGTTTGGCTATCCCGCCTGTAATTCCTGCCTGGCTACCAGCCAGTCAACATTTTATTAAACCAATTCGAGTGACAAATCTTGACACTGTACAAAAAGAATCGTCCGCAGCAGCTAAACAGTGAACACTAAGCACCTTGTTTGCATTTAGCCCTATTGCCTATGTTGAATTCTGGCTTTGCTACCTCTACAATTAAATGATCTTGAGAAACACTGAAGTCTTTCTATATCTGAGTTTCACTTGTCTGTAAAATGGCATTAACCTTAATATCTAAGTTACTGATTTGTGGTTGAGTTTTTAAATACATAGTTGTATAAAGAGAGAGATTGGTGTTAAATATTATATTATCATTTTGCTGTTATCATTATTGGCAATGTTTCTGGAGGACTGTAAAATACCAATAGAACTGTACCACTTAGAAATCCAGTATTTTGTTAGTATTAACATTGTGGTACAAACCTGCAGTTTCAGTCTTACAAGGCTGAGACAGAAGGATTGTGGATTTGATTGGGATACAGATTCTGTCTGAAAAAGAAGAAAACAAACACAATATTTTGAGACTCAATGAGCATGCTTTAAAATACTATGTACATTTTACATGCTATGTATACTTCTGTGTTATGCTGGTAATCCCCAGGAATAACAAGCCTCACTGAAGAAATGTATCTAACTTTGAGACTAGAACCACATTATTGAATGTTATAAGTTGACTTTTCTTGTCTTCTTCTACATGCTAGATAAACAATAGCTTACATATACTTAGCCCCTAAACTGACTGACTTTTAAAATTAGGTTTATTTATATGTATGATGTATGTGTGCCCTTGTGCGCTTTTGGAGGACAGATGATATCAAATCTTCTGTAGCTGGAGTTACAGGCAGTTGGGAGCCACCTGAAGTAGGTGTTGGAATCAGGAAAAACAAACAAACAAACAAACAAAAAAACCCAATTGCTTCTCAGGCCTGAACCATCTCTGCAGCTCACTTTCTTTATATGTGTTCTCTGTACTATTAGAGAGGAAAATTAATTTGGTCTGTTAAAAAGTATGTTTTCCAGCCCTTGTGAGGCAGAGGTAAGCAGATCTCTTGAGTTTTAGACTAGCCTGGTGTACAGGTGAGTTCCAGGACAGCCAGGACTATGCAGAGAAACCTTGTCTCAAAAAATAAAAAAGCAAAACAAAAAAAATTGTATTTTCAATGCTGGGGATTGAACACAGAGTTTTGTGCATGCCGAGCAAGCACAAGATTAATTTTTGTCCCCATGATAACCTCATCTACAAACAGGATGCTTAAAATCTGATCATAAGCTATTCATATTTTGTTTTCTCTGTGAAACTCTGGCTGTCCTGGAACTCTCTGTAGACTAGTCTGGAATTGAACTCAGAGATCCCAAGTGCCTCTGCCTCCCAAGAGCTGGGATTAAAGGTCTGCACCACCATTGCCTGGCTTATATCTTAAGTAGAGACTGGTAGAATCCATACCTAATAAAAGATAGAATCTAGAGAGAATGCAGTAATAGTTACATTTTCAAGGGGTATTTAGCTTTTGAAATATGAAAAGGTTGGCTTTTTTATATTCCCATGGCCCAGTGGGTATGCTGATACTGTTGAGAGGTTTGCAAATTTTTTTTATTTACCTTCAATTTTTTGTTTGTTTTGTTTTTCGAGATAGGGTTTCTCTGTGTAGCTTTGGAGCCTATCCTGGCACTCACTCTGTAGACTAGGCTGGCCTTGAACTCACATAGATCCGTCTGCCTCTGCCTCCCGAGTGCTGGGATTAAAGGCATGTGTAACCAACGCCAGGCCTACCTTTAAGATTTTTTTGTCCTAGGGTTTTTTTGAGACAGGATCACATTCTAACTGGCCTAGAACTCTTAGCAATCCTTCTACCTCTACTTTTTGAGTGCTGGTATTAAGGATGTGAGCTACCATACCCAGCTCTGCAAATACTGTTTTTAAAGTAGTGAATTGGGCCTGATGTGGTAGCTCACGACTTTAATCCCAGCACTTGGGGCAGAGACAGGTGGATCTCTGAGTTTGAGAACAGCCTAGGCTACAGAGAGAGTTCCTGGACAGCCAGGGCTACACAGAGAGACCCTGTGCCCACCCCCCCAAAAAGTAATGCCAATCCTGCCTCCTTTAAGACATTTTTCTCTCTAACATAATTTTATGTCTTTATTGCAGGCTTCTGAGAACTTTATCTATTCTTGTGCTGGGTGCTGTGTAGCCACCTATGTTTTAGGCATTTGTGATCGACACAATGACAATATAATGCTTCGAAGCACAGGACACATGTTCCACATTGATTTTGGAAAGTTTTTGGGCCATGCACAAATGTTCGGTAGCTTCAAAAGGTACTAATGTTGTTATTACTGTCGCTGAAGGGACATGTGCCAGGGCTTGTCCTCCTGCTGTGCTTTGTTTGCCTTGTGGCTCTTTTTGAACATAACTGGGAATAGAAAAGGCCCTAAGAGATGACCTTACCACATAATACACAAAACCAGTATGCATTACTTTGTTGAAGTAAATGGATGTTTGTTTAATCTAGTTTCTAGTGTCTGCTAGAAGTGGTTCCATTTGTATAATGGTAATGAGTATAAATTTTCCTCTGCATATTTTTTATGACCACTGTTGAATTTCTCTTTGGGCATATAGATTCATGAGTAATCACATTTGTGAAAATTTCATACTTAAGTTCTGTCCCAGTGCTGAAGTTGCTATGTAATATTTTCCTCAAAATGTTAACACTCAAGGATTAGGGAAAGACAAAACTGTCTGATGCTGTTTCCTACTTGAAAATATTGTAGCCCACGTGGTTTATTTAATATCTTTTAACAGCAATGGCAGCATGTATTCTGAGTATGTTCTGTAAATATGTTCTGTGTGTACTTTCAACAGAGATCGAGCTCCTTTTGTGCTTACATCTGACATGGCATACGTCATTAATGGGGGTGAAAGGCCCACCATTCGCTTCCAGTTGTTTGTAGACCTCTGCTGTCAAGCCTACAATTTGATAAGAAAGCAAACAAACCTCTTTCTTAACCTTCTCTCACTGGTAACTGTTCTTTACTGACATTGAATTGTGTATTAGAACCTTTATGTTTTGATAATTTAGAAAGGATGCTTTATGCTTTTGAAATAAAATAGTCACAGTTGTCAAAATTTTAGTGCAATATTTTTAGATTACTGCTATAAGTACTCACTGTCTGATTCTACTGATTAAAAACTAAAAAAAGTCAGGAGAGTGGTGACCCCAGAATGGAAAGTAGTAGTATAACTGGAGCTTGAAAGGGGCATTGGCTGCTAGTGAGTGAGTGTGCATTTGTGTCTCTAGATCTAGTATATTCAGGGGGCAAACATTCCCTTAAGTTGTATACTCAGGATTTCTGCACTTCCTAGGATAAGAAGCACATCTAAGTTAAAAGAATAAAAAAGTGCTGTAATTATTATGACTGGAATTGTTATAGTAAACAGGCCTGGGAGGGAGATCTGGATTCTGTGTTTCATTACATAAATGGGCTTTACTTCCAGCAAGTTATATGACTCCATTAACTTTACTTTTCTCATTTGTAAGAGTCACTTAGTTACCCAAGACATTAACAGACTGAAGTATATGATAATTTTTGTTCCTTTAATTCTAAGTACTGTCCAAGAGAAAACTTTAACTTTTTTTTTTCCTTCTACAGATGATTCCTTCAGGGTTGCCAGAACTTACAAGTATTCAAGATTTGAGATATGTTAGAGATGCACTTCAACCCCAAACTACAGATGCTGAGGCTACCATTTTCTTCACTAGGTATGACTTGTATGTGTCAAAATACAAAGGGCTAGGGATGTAGCTCAGAGGTAGAGTGCTTATTCTCTCTGTAAGATCCTGGGAGTTTATTCACCAGTACTGAAGGAAAAAAGGTTACTAAAAGTTGAGCAGTGCTTAGAAAAATGTTTATTCCTTTCAAAGTATAATCTCAATGTTATTTATTATATAATTTCCATTGGATGGATCCTTCTTATAAATATATTTCTTTTTTTTTTTCTTTCTTTCTTTTTTTTTTTTTGGTTTTACGAGACAGGGTTTCTCTGTTTTGGAGGCTGTCGGTCCAGCCTGGCCTTGAACTCACAGAGATCCGCCTGCCTCTGCCTCCCGAGTGCTGGGATTAAAGGCGTGCGCCACCACCGCCCGGCATAAATATATTTCTAAGAAACATGTATTCCATGGCAATGATATGTGCTTCCCCCCACACCCGGTGGGGGAGTATTCAAGACAGTGTTTCTCTGTGTAACAGCTCTGGCTGTCCTGGAACTCACTTTGTAGATCAGGCTGAGCTCGAACTCATAGGGATCCACCTGCCTCTGCCTCCCAAGTACTGGGATTAAAGGCATGTGCCACCACTGCCTGGCGACAATGTGCTTTTTAAGGTTTCTTTCTGAAATGATTTTTTTTTTCAAGATTCTACCATAATAGCTTCTATGGCTACCACAACACAGCAGCAGGCTGATAAAGTAGGGCTATAAACTATTACTTTATGACAGTATTTGAAGTGCATACTGGTGAACAGCTAATGTTTGAATGCCATTGTTGTTTTCAATAAAAACATCTTCTTGGCAAACTTGTTCTAAAGACCCAGTGATCATGTTCACTGACTTCTGCAGTCATGTCTTCTTGGCAGGGAAGAATTAGTTCATACTCATGTGTTCTTTTTTTCTCCTGCCTTCTTCCTCTCAGTAGAGAGGAGGAATAGAGCCCTGATCTAATCTTTCCTAGAGTCAACAGTTTAGCTGAAATGAAGGAAACTGACTTCATATGCTTCACAACTTAACCTAGCAATTGGGTGTTCATAGTTTTTATTGTGGTGGTTGTTCCCCTCCATTAGTGCTTGGCACCAAACCCAAAGCTGTGTGCACTTGCAATCATTTTACTACTGAGCAAAATCCTCAATCTTCTGTAGGTTTTGTTTTAGTCGGTGTTTCTCCCATGCCAAACAGTTGCTGAACCCCTGAACTACATCTTAGCCCTTCAGTATGTTTCTGCGTCTTGTTGCTCCTTGGTGATCTAAATGTCTTATTATCCAGGCCTGCCTTACAAGTGCTTTTGCAAACTCCATCCATTCAAAACTTCCTTTTATTATTAAGTGTGATCATGTTTATCTGAGAGTCTTGCTAGAATTTTTTTAATGTAGATTAAAATAACAGCCATCTTTTTAGTAATGCAGTAATCATTTTCTAGTTCTAATAGCTCTTTGGTCTTGAACCCCATATGTTCAAGAAATCCAAACATTATTTCTTCATTGCACTGAGTTGTTGTTGTTGTTGTTGTTGGAGTGAGATGCATTTTAACAGTTTTTCTTTAGCCCAAAGAAAAAGAGAGTCCTTGGCAGGGCAGAGTGAAAAACCTACTTGCCGGGTGTTGGTGGCATATACCTTTAATCCCAGCACTCGGGAGGCAGAGGCAGTTGGATCTCTGTGAGTTCGAGGCCAGCCTGGTCTACAAAGCGAGTTCCAGGACAGCTTCCAAGACAATACAGAGAAACCCTGTCTCGAAAAACCAAAAACAAAAAAAAACAAAAAAACTACTTAATACTGTACCTTTTAAAAACATTTTTATCATTTCTTGTGTGTGTGGTGTATACTTCGTGCTTGTGTGGAGAGAAGAGGATAATAATGTGTGGGAGTTGGTTCTCTCCTATGATGTGGGTCCTGGGGATTAGCCTTGGGTCATCATGCTTGGTGGCAAATACCCTAACCTGATGAACCTCCCCCAGAGCCTACCCATACTGACCATTTTAAGAGGAATTTCTTGTTTTATTAGCTTTAATTTAGCATGTGTCTCCACGAAAACTTACTATTAACAAGTGTTTCTTGTTTTCTAGGCTGATTGAGTCAAGTTTGGGAAGCATTGCCACCAAGTTCAACTTCTTCATTCATAACCTTGCTCAGCTACGTTTTTCTGGTCTTCCTTCTAATGATGAACCCATACTTTCATTTTCACCAAAAACATACTCCTTTAGACAAGATGGTCGGATCAAGGAAGCCTCTGTTTTCACATATCATAAGAAATACAACCCAGATAAACACTATGTAAGTTTGTTCAATATGTGTAGATAAATCATCTGTAAGGTTTTTGTTATCATTCATACATTTTTTTCACTGACTGCTAAAGTTCTAAGCATTAATTCTGTTTGTGCTTGTTGCTTCCATTGATGGTCCAAAAATAAGTAAATATACTTAAAGAATTCTTTTAATTTGATTCTTTTTGTGTATTGTTAAATTTGCTTAAAAATCACAAGGGTCAAAAATACATTCCTTTTTTTAGTGTTAAAGTATTTTCTTATTTTTCCATCTTTTCTTAGTTTCAAAGGTAAATCTTACATGCTGAAACAGATTTAACCAATACAATTCAGAAAGTCTTAAAAGTTCCATTTGGGCATGGTGATGCACGCTTTAATCCCAGCACTCAGGAGACAAAAGGCAAGGACGTCTTTGTGACTGAAGCCAGCCTGATCTATTTACCTAGTTCCAGGACAGGCAGTGCTGCTTAGGGAGACTTCGTCTCATAAACCAAACAGCCAACCAACCAACCAAAGAAGTCTTAAGCTCTCATTCTATTTTCAGTACAGTATTTTCCTATTTGTTTGTGTCACTAGGAATCAAACCCAGGGCTTTAACGATTACATATCATTCATTAAACATACACATAAAGGTTTTTTTTGTTTGTTTGCTTTTCTGTGTCTTGGGTCTTACTATGTAGCCCTGGTTGCCATGGAACTTTGTGTAGACCAGGCTAGCCTCAAACTCAGAAAGCCATGTTTGTCTGACTTGCAAGTGCTGGGATTAAAGGCATTTGCCACCATGCCATGCCAAACCATAATTTTAAACAAATACAGGATTTGTATTATTTTTTTCCACACTCTTCATGGCTATTATTATTCACCCTTGTGCTATTTAGTTTTTTGTTTTTCCTCCTCTTTTTTCTTTTTTTTTGGGGGGGGTTGTTTTTTTGTTTTTTTGGTTTTTTTTTTTTTGGTTTTATGAGACAGGGTTTCTCTGTTTTGGAGGCTGTCGGTCCAGCCTGGCCTCGAACTCACAGAGATCCGCCTGCCTCTGCCTCCCGAGTGCTGGGATTAAAGGCGTGCGCCACCAACGCCCGGCGCTTCTCTTTTTTCAATGCTGGCAGTCAATCCCAGGGTCTCAGGCATGATAGCTGTATGCTGTACCACTGAGCTACACCTCTATCCTCCATGCTAATATTTTTTTAGATAATGTTTTTCTTTTAATCTATGATGAATAGATTTTTAATCATTTTGAGGTTATATTGCCATTGGTTTATAATGGCACTGCAACGTGTACTAAGTTTATACACACACATATGCCCCTGGTTTTCTATGGATATATCTGATTTTTCTTACAATAGTTGAAATATACAGTAAAACGTGTTCCTTTAACTCCTACTCCATTAACTGTTTTTTTGCCTTTTTTATATCTACTTTCTTAAATCTTAAATAACCCTTTTTCTTTTTTGTTGGAAATGTACTAAGTGTATATGTTCAAGAAGTATATAAACATGAAAATAAATGTGTTGACTTTCAAGTTTTTGTTTTGTTTTGTTTTATTGGTTTTTTGTTTTGTTTTGAGAGAGAGGGTTTCTCTGTGTAGTGATGGGGAAGTCCTGTGTATATGTCAATAAAGCACTGTTGGCCAATAAGGAAGCAAGATAGGTGGGACTAGGAGTCGAGGAGTAGTCTGGGAAGGAGAAACACAGGGAGTCGAGATGTAACCACCATATGAGTAAGAAGCCCAGACCCTTTTCTCTGGTAAGAAAAATACTTAGATTGGCAGTTATAGGTTAAATACTTAAGTCAGAGCTAGCCAGTAAGAAACAAGCAAGGCCAACAGCTTCATAATTAATACAGCGGCTCACTTGTTGTTTGGGGACTATAATGCGGCAGAGTCTAGGGGACTGGTGGGGAAAAACCAAGCGGCTTGCGAGGAAAAGGCATCACTCAACAAATGGTACCAGAAGTGGGGATAAGAAAAAGGCTTTTCTCTACAGTATAGCTTTGGAGACTGTTCTGGAACTCGCTTTGTACACCAGGCTGGCCTTGAACTACAGAGATGCATCTCCACCACCCGGCCACTTTCAAGTTTTTATTTGAATCTTCCAGTAGCTAAGTTCAGTCTCAGGATGCAGTTGTGTGTGCTTATAAATACAATGAATTCTTATTTTATAATGTAATGTGCCAATCATTGATTTCTTTTCAGATTTATGTAGTCCGAATTTTGAGAGAAGGACACCTTGAACCATCATTTGTATTCCGGACATTTGATGAGTTTCAGGAACTTCACAATAAGCTCAGCATTATTTTTCCACTTTGGAAGTTACCTGGGTATGTTCCTATCCTCACAAAAAAAAAAAAAATTCAGTCTTATTTTCCTATGTAGAAATTATTTACTTTTACATGTGGGTGGAAAACTTTGGTTAACATTCAATTACAGTTATGATAAGTACCTCATACAGTACTGAAAGTAAATAAGGAGCTTGAATTTTGTGTTGAATGAACATGTGACTAAAATCATAAAACTAGGCCTGCCTGGTGGCACATGTACATGGGAGGCAGAGGCAAAAGGACACTGCAAGTTTCAGGTAAGCCTTGTTTCAGAGGGCTACTTTAAATATGTAACTTAAGTATCTATTGTCTTAAAAACCAAAACAACAAACAAGGTGTGAGCTTTCAAGACTCCAGTTTTGTCGCCTTGATTGTATACACACAGCACAATTTCAACTAAGTTAATGGAATCTTGTTTTTAAAAAGTCACATGCTACAGCTGCAGAAATCATCCATTGAGCCATACTGATCTCCTGTGATACATAATAAACCTGAGGCCAGATGTTACCACTCAGCTGATAAAGGCTCTTTCTTCCAAACCTGACAACTCTGACCTCAACATGTGCCATGGCATAACACTGACCCCTCACCAAGTACCACTGAAATGCTTAGATGTAGTCATCTTTTTTTCTTTCTTGCCCTGGCTGTCCTGGAACTCACTCTGTAGACCAGGCTGGCCTCTGCCTTCCAAGTGCTAGAAGTAAGGGCTTGCTCCACCACTTCCTGTCACATGTAATAATCTTAATGCTTAGCTTTTTTTTTAAGATAATTTTTTATTTTAAATTGTGTATGTGTGTTTGCTGTGTTGGTGCCTGCAGAGGTGTCGACCCCCATAGAGCTGGAGTTACAGTGGCCATTGTGAGCTGACCAATATGGGTGCTGGGACCTGAACTCAAGTTCTCTGCAAGAGCAGTACATGCTCTTAACTGCTGAGCCATCTCTTGCTCCTAGTGCTTAGCTTTTTTTTTTTTTAAGTTTTTTTATTTGAAAAAGTTTTTGTTTTTTTATTAGTGCTTAGCTTTTTATCTTACTTGTTTTGTAAATCATCAGATTTACTGTAGCTTAAAGATCAGTAGCTTTCCTTTGCCATATTCTTCTTAAATACAAGATTTCAAAAACATTAATTCAAAATAGCTTATCAAGGTATGTTACTGCTAGGTGTGGATCTCTTTGAGCTCAAGGCCAGCCAGGGATATATAGTGAGACCTTATCTCAAACAATATATAAAGTTTGTTACTATGTGTACTCTCTTTTTTTTTACCACCACCAAAATAAGAATTAAGATATGGTTTTGTACCTGATTTGTGGCCTGTGTCATTGTGTGTATTTTATTTTGTGATTATTGGGTAATGATTCTTTCAGAGATAAGATCTGGTAAATATTTGTGAATGATTAAAGTTGAAACCAAGTAACAGAAAATTAGTAACATACAGGAAACTATTAAGACATGCATCTTTTTCTTTCCTTTTTTTTTTCCTCTCCTAGGAAAGGAATTGTTGAGATAGAATCTCACATAGTCAAGGTGTGCCTAGAATTTGCTATATAACTGAGACTGGCCTTCAACTTCTGATCTGCCTGTCTCTACTTCCCAAGTGGTACTGGAATTCCAGGCATGTGTTACCATGCCCAACTAACACATGCATCCTGATGCCAAGACTTACTCATATAAAGAAAATGACTCATTGAAAGTAATTTATTCCCAGTGTTTTGAATCACACAGGCAACAATACAGTAGATTAAGACCCCACTTTTGTATCTTAAGTATATTACACAGTATATTTCTAAGTAAATATTGTGCATGATACTCTACAGATTCTGATGAAATAATTTAAATCCCTTTTTTTGTTTTGTTTTTCTTTTGTAGCTTTCCTAATAGGATGGTTCTAGGAAGAACACACATAAAAGATGTAGCAGCCAAAAGGAAAATTGAATTAAACAGTTATTTACAGAGTTTGATGAATTCATCAACTGATGTAGCAGAGGTGACCTTCCAGTATAAGTTTAATAACATATTCTGCCTTTGTGTAATTAATATTTAACTAATGAACCTTTTTTCTCTTCAATCACAGTGTGATCTTGTTTGTACTTTTTTCCATCCCCTACTTCGTGATGAGAAAGCTGAAGGAATAGCTAGGTCTGCAGGTGAGATTATACTTTTCCCTTCTGGTGGATAGTTCATTACTTTTGTGACAGAGTTGAGGTGGATGTGTGTAGGGGCACATGCATGTATGTGGGGCACTTGCAGGTGTCTATTTTAGATTTTTTAAGATTTATTTTATGTGCATGAGTATTTTGCCTGAGTGTGTGTGTGTGTGTGTGTGTGTGTGTGTATCATGTGCAAGCCTGCAGAGATCAGAGGAGGGGGATGTTGGATTCCCTGGAACTAGAGTTATGAATGGTTGTAAACCACTCTGGTTACTGGGAGTATAACTCAGGTTCTTTGTAAGAGCAATAAATTTCTCTGTTTCTCTCCCCACCCCACCCCCAAACAGGTTAGTCTTCCTAAGACAGTCTATTTCTAGAAAAACTTAGCATTCCTAATAATTAGCTTGTGATTTCAAAAAAAAAAAAAGTACAAATTAGTGGAATATGAGGTTTACTTTTCCTGTCCACTTCCCCATACCCCACCCTCATGCAGCAGTTCTTTTGTTGAAGTGTGAACCATCACAGGCACATTGAGATAAAGAAGAAAGTATTTCTGTTTTCAGGTTCAGGTTCCTTCAGCCCTACTCTGGGCCAAATAGGAGGAGCAGTGAAGTTATCTGTGTCTTACCGAAATGGCACCCTCTTCATCATGGTGATGCACATCAAAGATCTCGTGAGTAGCTACAAATGATGACTACAGAACAAATCTGTACCTTGGTAGGAAGCATTACTGTTAAGAGACTGTTTTTCTTTATAGGTTACTGAAGATGGGACTGACCCAAATCCATACGTCAAAACATACCTGCTTCCAGATACCCACAAAACGTCAAAACGTAAAACCAAAATTTCACGTAAAACTAGGAACCCAACATTCAATGAAATGGTAAGGTAAACTTTATTTCTCAAAATTTCCTAGAGTTTTGTTTTGAGATTTCAATGTTTTTTTAAAGATTATTTATGTGTATTTATTGTTTTTGTATATATGTAAGTGCATTGGGTGTGTGCCTTGTACCCACAGTGGCCAGAAGAGAGTGCTGGTTTCTCTGGAACTGGAGTTACAGGAAGTTATGAGCTGCCACATAGGTGCTGGAATTGAACTCAGGTCCACTGCAAGAGCGTCCAATGCTTTTAACTGCTGAGCCATCTTTCTAGCCTTTCCCTTAATGTTTTATTCTCTTTGGAGGCTGTCCTGGAACTCACTTTGTAAACCAGGCTGGCCTCAAACTCCAGAGATCCGCCTGCCTTTGCCTCCCGGGTACTGGGATTAAAGGCATACGCCACCAACACCCGGTCATGTTTCATTCTCTTAGAAACCCTCTTACCAAAACAAAGTGTCAGCTGAACAGTAGAGTGTAACTGTGACTGAGATACTCAAGGCCCACTAGCCCATCAGTAACCAGTTAAAACCTACTAAAGTTTCCTCACCTTGCTCCTTAGTTCAACTATTTTTTTGGGGGGGGTAGACACATTATTTAATTCTTACAAAAAAATGACTGGGTTCAGATGGGAAGACAACTTGAATTATTTCTTTGGCTTTTGTTTTTGAGACATAGTGTCACTGTGTAGCTCTGTCCTGGAATTCACTATGTAGACCAGAGTGGCCTTGAACTCACAGAGATCCACCTACCTCTCCCTCCTGGGTACTGGGATTAAAGGCGTGCACCATCACACACCCAGCTGAACAACTTGAATTTTTATCAAGATTATAAATTTATCAAGACCTGTAGTAAAACCAGGCATAGGGCTAGGAAAATGGCTTAGCATATAGGAACACTTGTTCTTTCAAAGGCCTAGAATTCAGTTCCCAGCATCTATATCAGGGGGCTTACAACTGCCTATTAACTCCAGTTTCAGAGAATCTTAACACCATCTTAGATACCCACACATGTATGACATGTACATGAATTTGTTTGTTTGTTTTTCAAGACAGGGTTTCTCTGCAGCTTTGGAGGCTGTCCTGGAACTCACTCTGTAGACCAGGCTGGCCTCGAACTCACAGAGATCCACTTGCCTCTGCCTCCCGAGTGCTGGGATTAAAGGCGTGCGCCACTACTACTATTACTACCACCACCACCACCACCTAGCTGAATTTTTTAAGTAATGAATAAATTTTAAAGAGAAAAAAGCTAGGTGGGCTGGTACATTTCTGTACTTGTAGCTCTTGAAGAGTCTAAGCAGGAAGATCATAATGTAGACTCACGGTCAGCCTGTATTACATAGCAAATTTGAGGTCAGCTGGGCTATCTAGATACAGAGATTGTGTCTCAAATACATACTCACACAGAGACCCTCTAGAGGGTCATTCACTCTTTAAAAACACATGCAAGCTAGGCGTTGGTGGCACACGCCTTTAATCCCAGCACTTGGGAGGCAGAGGCAGGCAGATCTCTGTGAGTTCGAGGCCAGCCTGGTCTACAGAGCGAGTGCCAGGACAGCCTCCAAAACAATACAGAGAAACCCTGTCTCGAAAAACCAACCAAACAAATAACAACAACCAACAACAAAAAAAAAAACACATGCAAACACATGCAGTGCTTACCAAAGAATACTTGATGTTAGTCTTGTTAAACAGCAGTGGGTTTTTAGTGAATTCTCCACTAGTTGATGCTTTACTGTGGATAAAGAGATACAAGTAAGTGTTCTGTGGTTGTTTTAGTCAAAAAGTGAGAAGGTCTAAATTAAAGAAATATTTCTCACAACTTGCTGTGAAGCTTTGTGGGAAAATAAAAATTTTAAGTGTTGTGATGAGCATTTAAAATAGCAGAAGCTTTGAGCACTGCAGATCTGCTGCAAACTGCACTTTCAATGTGGGTTTGTATCTCCTCGTGAATAAAAAGTTACCACTTCCTGGTATATGGCATTTAATAGAACGGAAGAAAACAATGAAATTTTAATCTGTTTTTACAAAATAATTTTAAAATTGTATTTTCCAACTTGCTTTCCTTTCATCCTCTTTTTTTCTCCAGCTATTAGATCATCTTAAGGTAATCACCAGGTAATCTCTTTTCCCATTCCCATCATTTCCATCTCACAGAAACCATGACTGAAGATTGGGGGTGTTTTGTTTGTTTTGATTTGATTTTTGACTATGATTGGTCCTGCTTTATATAATCTCTTTATAGACACTGATAGGAATTATAGTTCAATCCAATATTCAAGAAGTTAAAAACATGCTTCTGATACATTGAGGCAAGCCCTGCTTCTATAGTCAATGCCATTCATTGTATCACTCTGATACCTTCATATTTTACTGAAAATATTCCAAGAAACCAAACCTTATCTTTTTCCCCCCTCTAGCTTGTGTATAGTGGATACAGCAAGGAAACCTTGAGGCAGAGAGAACTTCAGCTGAGTGTACTCAGTGCAGAATCTCTGCGGGAGAATTTCTTCTTGGGTGGAATAACCCTGCCACTGAAAGATTTCAACTTGAGCAAAGAGACAGTTAAGTGGTATCAGCTAACTGCAGCAACATACCTGTAAACCATGTAATTCGGAGCTTTGGAAGAAGCAAAGAGTTATAAACGTATGCATATATGTACACACACAAACACACACACACACTTGGGAACTTTGTATATCTTTTATACTTTGGTGGAAATTATGAACTTAAATATACTTGGAGTGTTTCAACATATATGTTGGACCAACTGTCACATAACTAACTTTTACAGATTTTGGGAAGCCATTGCTGTTTCAAAGTCATTCTGTTAAATGCTACCAATCCCAGACTTAATATATGGTGTATAGTAAGACCTGGAAAAGACTTTGAGATAATACTGTGTCATTTCAGCCACCTTGTCTGCATTCTTCCTATACAGACACAGCAAATTGGTTTTCCTGTTATGCACCTCACAGCCTTTACCACTGTGTATGCTCACAGACACCAAAGGAAAGATGCAGCTGCTACTCAACAGGCTGAAGAGCAAAGCACAAATAGTAGACAGAATGCTAACAACTACTAAGTAGTTTACAGAAGTAGAGGGAAAAATACTATTTTTATTCATTGTTAAAGCCTTTTCAGAGTAAGTGCCAATCTCTGGAGTTGTAAATAATGGTTGGTGCCTTAACTTTATATGCTTCATTGGCACTTCATTTCTGATTAAAGATTAACTAGTTTTCATTCATTTTCACCTTAATGAGGACAAAATATTGGTACATTCACTATAAAGATTTCCCCACAAAAATACTATTTTTCTCTACTTCTGATTGTGACTTAGTTATTTTAACTATTAAGCTATTTGATTTAATGTTTGTTGCCCAGTAGTTGAATGAGATTCACTGATATAGGTGTATTCTAAATTCTATCATTCCACTATAATCCTGCATTTATGTGCAGGGGTGTGAACTTCCATGTATTTATACAGTACTCTCTCATTAAACAAATGGAAATTGTTAGCCTTGTGCCCGTTTTTGTTTGGTAAAAGACCCAGGATAAGGATTATAGGCTCCAGACTGAATTTTAATATAAACATTTATGGAAGGTGTTGTGTAAACTGTCTTGTATTTGTAAACATTGTACATTCACATGAAAGAATTATTTTCGGTAATACAAGGAAATTCAGAACCACATGAGAGAAATTTGAAGTTATTATGGAGTAACCATTAAGAATAAGATTCATTTTTATTTGTTTCTCATTTCAGATATAACTGTCTTGTTTTAGTAAACATGTAAATATAATAAATTTCACGGTTAAAAGTTCAAATATTTTTAGAATGGTAATAGAGATGTAGCAAGTCTGGTAACCATGAGAAAACTGACAAACTACTTAATGAAGGGGGTACCAAGACAGGACAATCTGATTCAGTTTGCTAGAATAAATTTTTTATGAAGTGTACAAAGTGATTAGCAGAAATGATGATGCTTACAGAGCTAAATGAAGAAATCAAGGGTGTTATCATTGGAACATATTTTTAAAGAAATTAAAACTTGAAATTTTTGGTGCCTAACACTATGGTCCATTTGTAGGGAAATTATTGAGTATAGTATATGAATTTTTATATTAAAATATGTTGTCTACTTGATAAATTAATTAAAATAAAGATCATCATTGTTTGCTTTTTCCACAATTAACATTTCCTTAAGTTGTTTTGCAGATGTAAGTAGCACTAGATTTTTTTTCTTTTGAGGGAGACTTAATTCCATTCCATAAGTTACCAATCTACTTTTTTAAAAAAGATGCTATTTGTAAAAGGTTGTCATTGATTGGTCTCAGTGTGGACTTTTTTGTGATGTTATAGCATACCTTAGCACAAATAATAGAACTAGAGAAAGTAATGTCACTTCTCAGTGACAAGAAATCTGATTCATATCTAAAAGTATATATTGTGATTAATACTGTATAGTTAAGAATTCAGAGCAAAAGGTAATATTTTCTCTTAATTTAACTCAATCTGTGCCTCCTTTGGTCATTAAAGCACATATATTTTAATATAAGTTATTTCTTTGTAAAATGCTAATCTTCAGCCCATACCAAAAAATAGCAATAGGGAAAAGAGAGTAGCTTCTTTGCACTACCATTGCAGTCAATTATAAATCAGCTCGTTTTCTAAAAACCTCTTAACACTTACCTTAAAATAAATCTGAAAAACAAAACTCTAAACTGGCCAAGACACTAATTTTTATGTATAATCACATTTGTAACTACCTTTGTCAGGTAAAAATAATTCTGCTATATACAAGTCCTGTGCCAGAATTCTTTGTTCTTGATAGTGCTCCAGAATTAGAAGATGACGGTCCCTGTTTACACCGAGGGACCCACTGAAAACTGCTGGCACCAATGCTTTTTATTACTGTGTTCATGTGTTCATGTGAGTTGAGTTGTTAAAGCATGTATATCTTTTTTACTTTTTTTTTCAAATTAAATTTGTATAAAAGTTCAAAAATCTTGCCTTAAATTGTTTCTTTCTAGGATTCATGAATTGTGGCATTTAAAAAAATTCACTTTGATAACTCAGATTTAAGAAGAAACACTGAAGCCCTGCTTTATAATACACATTTACTTACATGCTGTTTACTAGCAGTGCAAATGTGGATGTGCTTACTGGTGTCATCTGTTAAGAACCAAATGCTTTAATTATTATATCAGCATAGTGAGTGAGATGTATAATATTTTTATTAATACTTGGAATATATTCAGTGGAATGAATGTGACTTTATAACTATACCACAATTATATTAAAATTTTTCTGAAATAAAGGAACTCAGTTGTCATTTCTTTCCTTGTTTTAATATTTTGGTTTCAAAGAACTATGTTCTTTGCATTCACCCAGAAAAGTTTAGTGACCTTGAATTTCAGATCTGGTCTGTCAGACTTCCCTAAAATGTGTAAGAGAATTTGAATTGATATGTGAGTGTGATTGTTTGAAGGTCTGGATATTGTTTTGCGACAGCCCGTTACTATTCCTGAAATGTGAAATCTTCTGTAGATGCGATTCTTGGTCTCTGATCGTTCACTTAAGTAGTAATAAGAGAGCAACAGCCACATTCTAGGCATAGCTCACAGAACAGTGCATATTCTAACACCATACCTTTATCCTGACAATGAGCATCACTTTTCTCTGTAATGTGAGAAAGGACAATTAAAGCCAAGTCTCCATGCTGCTCATGAAAGATGGCTTATGTAGGCTTATTCTTTGAAATAACTGAGTACCTGACTATTTGGGGGTACTGAACTGCAAATAGGCTCGTGGATAAAGAGCTAGAGAGATGGATCAATGGTTATAATGGCTTCCTGCTGTTATAAAGGACTAGAGTTTGGTTCCCAGTACAAACACACAACTTATTACTCTAGCTCTTGGGCACTGTACTCAACATGCACAACCATGTATATGCATGTAATAGTTTTTTAAAATCTTAGAGGCTGGAGAGATGGCTGAGGGGTTAAGAGAGCTTATTGCTCTTACAGAGAGGACTTGGGTTCATTTTTAAGCAACCACATGGCAACTAAGAATTCTGTAACTCCAGTTCCAAAGGTTCTAATACCCTCTTCTGATCTTCATGGGCACTGCAGGAACTGTGGTGCAAAGACTACATACATAACACTCATAAACATATTCAAAAATATCTTAATTTTTTTCAGGTAGACAACATGTCAGTATGTGTAGGACCAGAAATGTGCCTGGAATGTTTAGAAATAATGGCAGAGCAGGAAGACATGAGGCCAGGGCATAGTTTTACTTCAAATGCATTGATAAAAGTATAGAAAGGGCCCCTGGGATGGCTCAGTAAAAATCTGTACACTGACAATCTTAGTTTTGATAGCCAAAGCCAGATAAAGATGAAAAGATTGAACAGACTCCATGTTTTCCTCTTACATACTATATGTTCGCATTTTTTAAAACTTTGTATTTTATGTGTGACTGATATACATGTATATCTGCATGCCAGAAGAAGACATCAGACACTGTGAGCCACCATGTGGTTGGTGGGAATTGAACTCAGAACCTCTGTAAGAGCAGCCAGTGCTGTTGACTGCCAAGCCGTATTTCCAGTCCTACTCCCACCCCCCTCTTTTAAGTTATGTTTTTGTTTTTTTTAATTTATCTGACCACTAGATTGACAAGGAATTGTATACAGAATGGGGTACCATTTAAGCCTCCTGAGAGATGATGGATAGGATTGGGGTACCAGTAGAAACAAGTAAATGTATCATTACATTTCTGAAGTAAGATGTGTTTGGGGTGCCGGGCGTTGGTGGTGCATGCCTATAATCCCAGCACTCGGGAGGCAGAGGCAGGCGGATCTCTGTGAGTTCGAGGCCAGCCTGGTCTACAAAGTGAGTTCCATGACAGCCTCCAAAGCCACAGAGAAACCCTGTCTCGAAAAACCAAAAAAAAAAAAAAAAAAAAAAAAAAAAGATGTGTTTGGGGTGACTTACGGAAATAAGAATAAAGAACCGCCGGGCGTTGGTGGTGCACGCCTTAAATCCCAGCACTCAGGAGGCAGAGGCAGAGGCAGGCGGATCTCTGTGAGTTCATGGCCAGCCTGGTCTACAGAGCGAGTTCCAGGACAGCCTCCAAAACAATACAGAGAAACCCTGTCTCGAAAACAAAAACAACAACAACAACAAAAGAATAAAGAACCCTGCATTTTTATTTTGGGCAATTGTGTCGAGTTCTGGTTTAGGGATGGCGAATTGAATCCAAGTTTGATGTACGGGTCACAAATCTGGGCTAAAAGTATGAATCTGGTTAATTTTTCAAATATGTCTTTGCAGTCCGACGGTGGTGGCGCACACCTTTTTTTTTTTTTTTTTTTTTTTTTTTTGGTTTTTCGAGACAGGGTTTCTCTGTGGCTTTGGAGGCTGTCCTGGAACTCACTTTGTAGACCAGGCTGGCCTCGAACTCACAGAGATCCACCTGCCTCTGCCTCCCGAGTACTGGGATTAAAGGCGTGCCCCACCAACGCGCACACCTTTAATCCCAGAATTAGGCCAGCCAAGGCTCCACAGAGAAACCGTGTTTTGAAAACAAACAAAAATCAAATATATCTTTGCTAGGAAAAATACAAATTTGGTTCAAGTTCCCAATATTTTGGGAAACATTATTCAACCAGGATGGTGGCTCAGGCATCTGAGCACTATCTCGAGGCAGAAGGCAGGAGGACTTCCGTGGGTTTGAGGCCAGCCTCGTTTACAAAGCGAGTTTCTAGACAGCGAGAAGTACATAGACCGTGTCAGTACTGTCTTGTTTTAAACCTTTCACCCATCACTTTTCAACAAGGTCTTTTAAATTTGCTTCCTCCTATCCGGGTCCTTGCTTTTGATGTTTTCTGTTGCATTTTTTTGTTGTTTATTTTTCGAGACAGGGTTCCTTCTCCTATCTCTGCCTTCCGAATGCAGAGACTAAAGGCGTGCGCCACCACCGCCAGGCTCTTCTGTTGCTTTTTTAACGAGTCTTCAATTTACCCATTCTTGGAACGTAATGATGGACCGGCACTAGGTCAACCGTAAAAGTTCAATTCCCTAGTCGTGTCAGTCGGGTCCGGGACTCTGCTTTCCAGGTGTAGACCGCAAAGGCACTGTCGGCAAAGCACAGGCGGGCCCGGCGCGAAAGCCTAGGGTTTGCAAACTAGAGAGGAGGGGAGGAGCCGGCTGCGGTGAGGCACTGTGGTCTCTCTAACGCAGCGCTCATCCCGCACCTCTCGAGTCCTGGCTGGTGACGGAGCCCTGACGAATCCCTGACCCCATAGCTTATTATCCAAGTCCTCCAGTTCTGGGCTCCAACGCATCCTAGGTTCCACAAACACCCTTCTACTGCTAGGGGTTAGCGGCTGACTTCCGGATCTGTCTACAAACCAGGCCAGAAATGGAAGGACGGCGGGAAGCGGAACTAACTAATGAATGGTGCGTGACGTCTCGCCGCAGTGCCTTCTGGGACGCGTAGTCACAGGGGTACGAGCGGCCGCGACTTATGGCTCCGCCCCGCGTGAGCGGAAGCGTGGACGTATGACGTCACTTCCCGCGTGTGGCTTGGCTTCCTGCGTTGTTTCCTCCCTCGTTTTCTCTTTGCTGCCAGACCTCCGCCATCATGGGTCGCATGCACGCTCCCGGGTGAGCCTGCGGCGCCAAACCGGGTTGTGGGGCTGGGGCTGGGGCACGGGGGGCAAGGAGAGCAGGGTGCAGGCTGCGGGCGGAAAGACGGCGGGGCTGCTTGAGCCGCCAGTTCACTCACTTTTCTGTTCTCAGGAAGGGCCTGTCCCAGTCGGCGCTGCCCTACCGCCGTAGCGTCCCCACGGTGAGCAGAGGCTGAGGGTCGGAGGGCAGCGTGGGGCGGAGTAGGGATCAGTGTGGGTGAGGGAGGATGGGGCCCGAGGGGGAAGGTTGCTGTCGCGCTTTCTTATGCTGAGGCCCAATTTCTGTTCCATGTACAGTGGCTGAAGCTGACGTCTGACGACGTGAAGGAACAGATTTACAAACTGGCCAAGAAAGGCCTGACTCCCTCCCAAATAGGTGAGTGTTGGCAGCCTCCAACTTATGCTCTCGTGTGATCTGCAAAGACAAGTGTGTCTAATCCCTGCGTTGAAAACGCGTTGTCCCTGCCTCCACGGCTAAACGAGAAGCATCTGGGATCGAGTCGCATTTAACTGAATTGACTCTTAAACTGCTGTAACTGTGTGCAGATGGCAAATAATTTATTTGTTAACATGGTTCCGGGCCTAGGATAAGTGGTTATAGGAGGAAAGCATCCTTGCTAAGACTTAAGAGTTTACTGAGGATATGGAGAAAAAATTTGAAATGGACCCAGACAATCAGACATAATTTGAGTTTTAAAGGGAATAACATGCAGTTGTAAAGATTGGTATGAATAAACGTTAAGCTGATTTTCGTTAAGACCAAATACAAAGGTAGGAATTTTTTTTTTTTTTGGTTTTTACGAGACAGGGTTTCTCTGTATTGTTTCGGGGCTATCCGAAAGGTAGGAATCTTGCTGGTTCCTTTGGTCAGCTGTGTTCTGGCATACTCACTGTGATGATAAGTGTTCCAACATTCGCAGTTTCCACCAGAAGGGGCTTCCTCCGTGTTGGGTAGACCTTCCTTGGATGTCTGAGTGAGCTTGCAAGCACTTAAGTTGCCTGTTTGCAGGAAATTTGAAGAGTCTTGCTAAATACTAGGACTTTTATCACATGCTCAAGTTTGTGTTACAAGTTACATGCTTTTTTCAGGTGTGATCCTGAGGGACTCTCATGGTGTGGCACAGGTTCGTTTTGTGACTGGTAATAAAATCTTGAGAATCCTTAAGTCCAAGGGCCTTGCCCCTGATCTCCCTGAGGATCTCTACCATTTGATTAAGAAAGCCGTTGCTGTCCGAAAGCATCTTGAGAGGAACAGAAAGGTAAGTAAGGAAACGACCTTGGAGTTGTGTAGCAATGCTTGTACTGGTCTTCAGGATGTGAAATGCATTTGAGTTTAATTCTCTCGAGTGCTTTTAGATACTAACTAGTCAACATTGTAGGTTCCTTGAAATGGGTAATTTGATCTTTAGCTCCCTTAAACATAATACCCAGTTGGTTCCAAATATTGGGTGCTCTTTTGTAGCTTTGTGACCATTCTTAAAGGCCTTGTTCTAGGTAATGCATGCCTGTAGTTTCAGCAAGACTTTATACACTATTTTAAAAGCCTTAAGGACTTAACCATGGAAGATACTGAGTTACTTTACTTGGTGGCTTTCTTAATTCTTTCTAGGATAAGGATGCTA